GTACGTTTTATAGAAAATTCTGGTGTTAATAACAAAATCCATGAAGAACAACTGGGTTCTACCTGGATTTCAAAATTTAAGTTTAATTTTTTTTTTTGAGAAAGCACAAAGTGAGGTCATTTATACCTAATGTGCCATTATTGTGTGAAACTCGATGGTCTTCAAAGTATAGAAGCAAACTTATATTTAGAGAAAATTTGGAAGGAACTTCCAATCAATTACAAAATTTAGTAACAAACAGCAGTGGTAAAACGCGGCAGAAAACCCGCTGAAAAAACAAAAAAGTTCTGTATTTTTATGCACTAACTTTTATTGTATGTTTGGTGATTATCTCTATCTACTAAGCGATATTGGGATTTTTTGTCCCAAATGGCCTCTCTATCGCTACGGCCTCACCGCAAATGCTCTTGATGACCGTGGGTAAAAACGGCACTGACATGTCTTATATCCTGTTTAATCTTTTAAATCGTTTTTCATAGTTTTGTATAATTATATTTGTCATATGTATTTATAATTGTAATATATTGTTTTTATATGTGATATGTAAGATTAAATGTGTTTTCAATATGTATACACTTTATATTAATTACATGTTTTCAAATTGGTGTGACTTTATCACAACACTTTGAAAACATAAAAACAGCGTTAAGTGTTAGCGTTTAGTGTTATTGCTTTAGAGCTAGATAGCGTCGTCTAGCCTTTTTTTAATTATTTTGAAAACACATAATAATGTCTGTTGATGTTTAGCGTAATGTGTACTCAATGCTGTGACTAGTGGGTAGGAGGGTCACCCAAAACCTTCCATTAGGGTCCAAAAATCTTTAAAAATTTGCTTCCTTCTCTCCCTCCTCCTCTAGCTGGTAGATGTGGCCTTGTCACAGTTCTGTGTGCACTTGCAAATATGTATTTTTTTCTTGCAAATATCTTCTACTATGTGCTATTACTGTGTGTTATCGCAGTAACGTTATTGTTAATGTTGCCATAAAAAATGATCAACAAATGGTTTAAAAAAATTTTTTTTTAATAAAACAGCATCCTGTAAACCACTTTCATTCGCAAAAAAATTAAATCACCTACCCAATCTTTTTAGTCAGTTTTGATAACTTTTTAGACTTTCCATTTTTTGAAATTTACCAGGCAACTCTCTTAGTTACCATTCAAAATGTTTAAAAGTAAGACATATGAGTCACTAAGTTTAATTCCTCTATCAATAAAAAGTCTCACTTTTCCAATTTTAAAAGTTATACTGACAGAAGAGTTATTGGGAAATTATTATGCATGTCAAAACATAAAATGCAAACACGGCTTTGAATGCAATCGTATGGTCTTGTGTACACGCTCGCGGAAAGTGTGGAACTTTCCCTCACACCGGTGTGTAGCAGTAACTCTTAGACACAAGTGTGGAGTTATTTTGCACACTTTTGTGAAAATTAACTTTCTCTAACTCAACTTCTGCACAGAAGTGTGTCGTTATTTCCACAAAAGGGTGCAAAATAACTCCACGCTTATGTCTAGGAATTATTGCTACACACCGGTGTGGAAGAAAACTCCACACTTTCCGTGAGTGTGTACCAAAATCTATATTTGTTGAAATAGAAACAATAGAAATGGGTATCTATTCTGCTGTAATATATTTTAACAATGGCACAAATAGAATCCTTGGCAGCTTAGAAAATTTTGGATTGACTGGAACAGTTTCGCACCGAATTGCAAAGAAACTGGATATTTCACGTGTAAAACTAACTGATGACGAAAAAAGCTTACGGCAATATAAGAAATTCATCAGAGCAAAATAGAAAAGCTACAGTTACATTTTAAAAGAAAAAGTACCCATTGACTTTTATGCTACAGTAAATTATTTAAAGATTTATTTTTGGGGATTTTTTCCTTTTATCTTTTTCGCAGCTTCGTATTTCAATCGTTTCTTGAAAATTTAAAATGCGATAACTCGATATTGGACGAAGTATTTGTTTTCAAATTTTCAATATATATTTACAAGCTAGATGCACTACATTTAACCTTTAGAATTTTTATGAATCACTATAAATACTGATTTATAGAATTAAACTTTTCAAAATTTTCCACAAAACTATTGTAAATCTATAAGTTCATATAAAAAGTCAATAACTTTTTTAATACCTTGATTTAGGTAAAATCTGACGGTTAAATGGAGTATCTATATGTATTCTAGAATATCCTAAAGTTTAATTAAAAACAGATGAAGACAATTGACTTGAAGCATTTTGAAATGTGAAAAAAAATCATTTTTGCTGATTTTGTGACACTTTTTCCACCATTATGGATCAACCAAATGTAATTGTTTTATTTTTTAAATCAACTTCATTATCTCCAATAAACACCAATAAAGTAGATTTCTTTTTTTTTCTCAAAATTACCTCTTTTATATGATTACCACCTTAAGATGTTTTGTGTTGATAGATAGCTTGACTTGTCATCCTGCTCATGTCTATTTTTAAAAATGATGAACTCATTCATGGAGTTGTTTACATCATTTATTAAAAGCCAAGTTAAAGCATTTTGCTATAAATAAAATCTGTTTATATTTTATTTTATTTATTTTTTCAATAAAAAAGAATACAATGCCAAGATTTGATAAATAAAATCTTCATGACCGGGGGTAAAAAAAGACTTATTTGGAGTTATCACTTCGTCCCCGATATCTTTAAATAGTTTAATATTCTTAATTTTATTTTTTTTTATCTTTAGTGATGTTCATAGTTTTGTTCTTTGAAATATTTTATAATTGCCTTTTTAATAAATAACATTTAGAAACCATTGCGATGTCTTCAACATTAATTGTAGCCAATAATAAAACTAAGCCAACAATAGGCGCATATAATTTTTGTTTTGCTATAATTGTTTATCGTTTTTGTCATTTGTTTTTAAAATAAAACATAATATTAAAAATTAAGTTATAAAAAAAAAAAGTTTTCGAACATGGCATAGAAACTTGAAACGACGTTTACAATACGCAATGAAAAAGTTGTGGACAGGGCCGGTGTTAGGGCGGGGGCGCTATTACAACTTTTGCCGACTAAAAAAAAAAAAAAAGGTCCTCGTTTTTTAAAAATTGTTGACTACCTTAAAGACATTTGCCGACTGACTAGTTTACCGACTAACTTATCGAAAAATTTTACATTTTCCGACTAACTAGTTAAAAAGGGTCAAATTTTCCGACTAAATGTCAAATTTGCCGACTAAATTAACATGGGGGGGGGGTGTCACACACACACCCATCTCGCCGGCCTTGATTGTGGATAGTACTTTTATTAACTTCGACTAAATTGGTTAAAAGTTGACTTGTCGAAAATCGAAATTTTTTGTCAAAAATCTTAGTTCATTCAATCGACTAAGAGACCTAACTAATCGACTAAATGTCAATTTAGTCAATTAAAAATCTTAAAATTTTAATACCTTTTCGATTTAACTATTTAATCGATTTAACTTTCAATATTTAATTTTTCTATATTTATTTTATAACAATAACATATCCAATATCTTTTTTTGTTTTCTCGATGCGTAAGATTTTTATTTCATACAGGACTGTTCCAAGCTGGCTCGGGGCAAAATTAAGTTGTGAAGCTCTGAAATCTAAATGTCTTCTATACATTCACATTGTAAATATGATTGCATACACTTTTTTTATTCGGCTTTTATTATTTTTTGGCCATAATGAAAACTTCGTTCTCAATACACCAAATACGCTCCCACTAATTGTTCCTATATTATTATTTGTTATATATATTTAATATAGAATATAAATTTTATTTGATGTATGCATGTATGTGTGTATGTATGCGTATGTGCTCGTGTATGTTTTTTAGTTGTTATAATAGAAAACATTTATTATTCATCAATTTTAAGTAGCTTATTAGATTTAATTATATTACTTAGAGACGATTTTAAGAATAAAATGAGAAGGGGTGAACTCTTAAAAAGTATCGACTGGCTCCTAAAAAAAAGGTCCTTAAAACTAAAATTCACCTGACTGAAATGTGTCAAATATCCGACTAGTCAACTAGCCTAACCTGAAAATTATTTTCCTTGGAAGGTAGGGCTTAATGGCTGATTTTTCAAGTCATAGTCTAACACACACATCCTCCCTTCCCTCTCCCCCCTCCGTATATATATATATATATATATATAAGTTTAACAAATTTGTTAAATATTTATATATTTTTTTAATTCATTTAATTACCTAACTTTTACACAATAATAAATCTAGGGTATCTTTCTTTGCAAAGAAAGATACTCTAGAAATATCAATAATTTATATTCTGGGTTTAAAGTAAAATTTACTCACAGTATTTCTATTTTTACTTTACGCTTACTCTGAATCATATATGCTTGTGACATTTACTTATAGTATAAGTAATACTATTAGTAAATGTTAAAAGCATCTAATATCATTCAGTTCAAAAGTCCTAATCTAATGCCTTTGACTAAAGCTTAGTCATCATCATTGTGTCATTCTTCGATGAATTTTATTTATTCGTAGAACAAAAATATTGTAACACAGTGAGATGGTGGAAATGGCAGCCCAAACAGATTGAAACACTTGGTACAGTACATTACTAAAACTTATACTTACTAAAACTAGTACTTACTAAAACCTATTGAAATTGTTAGATTAAGAATAAGTATATAACCGGATAAATTTTAATATCTAAAAAACAATCAGGGAAAATTGAGCTTTGAAAGTTTTTAAATCAGGGAAAATTGAGCTTTGAAAGTCTTTAAAAGTCATAGGAAATTGTTCTGCTTCAAACTGACATGGCCTATGTCAGTTGTATATCATTCAAATAATGTAAGATTTTAAATTGCAAATTGTTTTATAACTTCTCTATACTTATAATGTAGATTTTATTTATATTTTTATTTTTCTTTTAAATTAAAAACAGCTCGAGGAACGCGAAAAAGTCACTGATCTCTGTTATAACCTCTATGATATCTATAACAACCTCTATGATCTCTATTATAACCTATATTGTTATTATAGAGGTCAGTGGGAAAAGTCAAGAAAATCGAACATAAAGTTGGCAGACACCCACCTGTGTCCACCACCACCACCACCGGCTAGTTCCGATTAGCATCCGGATCCAAGTTAATATGAATTAAATCCAAGTATTCGTGTATTAAGTATTCTGATAATCTAATAATTAAAATTTATTATTTGCAAGAAGTAAAACTATTTTTATTTTACCTGATTCCCACAGAATAAGTTGCTGGGTTGTTCATGGAAGAAAGCGGCGTTGAAAATAAAGAAAATCGCGAAAAAGTATAAGCTAAAAAACTACATTTTATTTATATAGCATACATTTATAAACATAACAATTTTAATAACAAATACATATGTTTAAAGAATTAATTTATACATACCATCATCATTCAAATGATGTTAATAATATTTATCAGAACAAAGAGTAACTAAATCAGTTGATGTATTACACTTTTCGCTTATCTTTAATCTACTCTGTTAATGAAAAAAAAATTTAAAAAGAAACTCTTTATTTACAACTTAAGATTTTGGGATTTTACAATTTAAACTTTTAGGTTTTAGACTTTACTAACCTATGCAAATGTCTCACATTTGCATAGGTTATTGCTTAGGGTATGAAATGATTTTTACATTTAGGTCAAGTTTTTTTTTTTTAATTGTTTGAAATTTAAATATTTTTCAAAAATCACTATTCCTTTATGCTCAAAAGTTTTTATTTGAATAATTTTTTTTCCTCCACAAACATCCATACTATAGAAATCTCTCCTTTTTTCCTATCAACTGCTTTTTTGCTCTTTGATTACTTATTTTATGTCCTCGTATTTTTTAACTTTAATAGTGTTTTTTAGTTCATTTGACATGAATTTGTATTTAAAAAAATTTTTTAATAGTTTTGATTTTTATTTAGATTCTCTCCTGTGTAGATTTTTATGACATATGGAGAAGATGTTCATGTAAGTTTTTTAATGTAATGTTATTTGTTAACCATTTTTTTAACCATTTTGTTAACCTTTTCATATATTTTAATATAAAGCGTTATCTACCTTATTACTATATATAACTTATATTCTTAATATCTTTTAATTTTAAATGTTTGTGGAATAAAATTTATTAGGAAATTTCCCTTCTTGGAACCTTTTTTTTACCTAGTCTAGAGTTCCTTGCTACAATTTTACATTTTATTAAAGGTTCAAAAAAATAGGTTTCACATCTATCAAAGTCTTTACATTTGCAGCCAGTACATTTTTTCAGCAGAATTTTGAAGACAAATGTACCTTTTTTATGTTTCTTGTTCCATATCTTTTATAAATTTTGATGCATTCTAGAGTTATCTCTTGCAACTAGACAAGCTCAATTGCATCTTTAAATGCATCAATTGTTGATGTTTTTGCAAGGACAACTCTTGTTTTTACTATGTTCCACAGATTATTAATGCAATTTAAATCTGGGGAATTCGGAGACCACGCAAATGTTTTAATATAATTGCTCCTCTGCCTTAACAATTATGGCCATGCCATAATTGTTATGGTAGAATGGTAAAGCATACCATATTGCATATATAAAGGTTTTTGCATGATGGATGTTGATAAATAGCAATAGACGATCTTCTCATACTTTTTTGCATCTGACAGCATACATCCTCTCTCCCTTTTTAGGAAAGCATTGACCAGTTTGTCATGCAGCATACATACACCCCTATATCATTATTGATAAAGGATACTTAACAGTGTGTCTTGTGTAGATCAGGATGCAAGGATTCAGATGACAAGGTTGTGTAACATATTATTCTGCATGTACAGTTAGCTGAAAGGCACTCTCATCACTCCAGATCACAATAAAAGATGGCTCTGGTGTCCAATTCAAATGTTGTTAACAGAATCTGAGTCTCTTTTGAATGCGATTTTTGGTCATTACTGTTTTTTTAAGGGTTTGACAGCTGATAATCATTTTTTAATATAATTTTTGTTTAATACAAAACTTTTTGTTTAATACAAGACTTATAATTGACTTGGAAACATTTTGCTGTTAAGAATATTTTGTAATGTAAGGTAATGTAAATGCTAGTCTTAAGTCCAAAAAATGTCCAAAAAACCTTTTTGAGATATAACTATTTTCTAAAAAGGAAAAAATAATTATTGAGAATTCAGTGAAAAAACTTTTTTAATAAAAAATTTATTTAATTTAATTTTTTTTTTTTTTAATTTTATGTTATAATTTTATACCAATAAAATTATAACAAGAAATTGGTGGCGGTCGTAACATTCAAAACCTTTTAGGCTATTAAAATGAACCAAAAATGGAGACTTTCCAGAAATGTAAAATACTATCATATAATTTAATGTGTAAAAGTTACAGCATTTAAGTCTTCAACCTTTTTCAAAAATTAATTCTAAGTAGCAACGGTCGTAACGCTTACTTTTTACCACTTCTGAACAAAATGCAACCAACGGCATAAATGAATGAGACTTAATGTAATGAACGACATGGTAAAAAAAATCATTTGGTTTTTTTCATTAAGCACATATTAATGTTATTATATGCTGTGTTTCATAGTTTTTACTGAAAGTTTTACAACCTTTTTTATGTATTTTGTTGTTGTGATGGTCGTAATTGTGACGTAATTGTGAATTTTTTGTTATGACGAATTTTTGTCATAACAAAAAATCCAATTCTTAAAAACAACAAATATAACAATGCAATCAATGGTGTAAGAAAAAAGTTTAAATGATTATTAACAACCATTTACATTATGTTTAAAAAATGCACTATAACATTATCAAAGTTCTCAATTATGTATATACTATATACGATTTTTAACGCTACACAACAGGACTGTAATTAAGCATCAAAACATGTTTATGCAACCCTTACAACTTTAAAACCATGCATTGGTATAATAAAATGATTTTTTAAGTAACTGTTTTGCTTAAAAGTATTTTTAAATAGTTAAAAAAGGAGTTATGGAGTTTAGAATGTGTTTTTATAACTTCTTTGCTTTTTTTTTTTTTCACGCGGAATTGCCCATATATATATATATATATATATATATATATATATATATATATATATATATATATATATATATATATATATATATATATAAATATATATATATATATATATATATATATATATATATATATATATATCAGTGGCAGATTAAGACTTCTTGGGGCCCATGACTATTTTTGTTTTTGGAGGCCTTTTTATGGGCCAGAACCTAAAAATGACTTTAAAAAAAAAAGAAAGGGTCCTCTAAAACTTTTGGGGGCCCCTAAATTTGCGGGCTTGGGCCTATAGCACCCCCCTAGCACCTCTTGAACCGGCACTGATATGTGTGTATATATATATATATATATATATATATATATATATATATATATATATATATATATATATATATATATATATATGTATATGTATATATACATATATTAGGGTGTCCCAAAAAACAACATTTTTGAAAATAATCTGCTCTTACCCCCTAAATGTGTTCTATCTAATACAAAAACACTAGGTTTAAATTTTTTTTGAATAAAAAATATTTTAAGGGGTCCCTCAAGACCCTCGAATATTTAATGGGTCCCTAATATTTTCGAAAAAAAAGTTTTTCAAAAATATGTCAACCTGGTACTCAAATGAAGCGAAATTATATAAATATTTTAAAAATAATATTCATTTCAAAATATTTTTAACTTATTTATCAAAATTATCATAAAAAGACATTAAAATGCATTTTTTTCATTTTTTTTTTAAAAACGCAATTTTTTATGTAATAAAACCAAAAATAACAATTTTGTTTCAAAATGAATATTATTTTTAAAATTTTTATATAATTTCGCTTCATTTGAGTACCAGGTTGACATATTTTTGAAAATTTTTTTTTCAAAAATATTAGGGACCCATTAAATATTCGAGGGTCTTGAGGGACCCCTTAAAATATTTTTTCTCAAAAAAAATTTAAACCTATTGTTTTTGCATTAGATAGAACACATTTAGGGGGTGAGAGCAGATTATTTTCAAAAATGTTGTTTTTTGGGACACCCTAATATATATATATATATATATATATATATATATATATATATATATATATATATATATATATATATATATATATATATATATATACATACAAACTCTAAGAAAAAATCCGTTATATACAACGAATTGTATCTGTCGCTATTGCACTAACGGGAAATCCGTTAAGTTAACGAATTAAAATTTTAATGAATTGAACTCCGTTAGGAATAGTCTGTTGAATTTACGGATTTATTTCGTTAGTGCAACGAATAATCCGTTAAAATTAAGGAGTTATTACACTAGGCAGCAAATTTTCCGCGGTTGTTATTCTTATGAAATAAATGTGTTAATAAGTTATTTTAGTGATTATTTCGTTAAAATCACTAAAATCTAAAATTAGAAGGCCAGAATTGTGACTTCATAACCAAATAATCCTTATATTTGTTAATGTTTGCATTTTTATTTAATTGCATTATTTTATTTCGATATTCTACATGAAAACGTTTTAACTAAAAATTGAAAACTAATCAAATATTTATAATATTTAATCCAATATACTTTAAATTACAATAAAAATAGTTAAAAAATATATTTTTAATACACTATACTCAAGCTAGTACATTTATATAAAACACACACATATATATAATAGATGTTTAAAATAAACCAATGCCAAGATATTAGTTTTTGGTCGCTAGTTTTGGTTTGGTTGGTTTAAATAGGTTTTGGTTTTGAATACTGTTGTTACTCGTACACAGGTTTGCACTTTAAATCTGACACCATGCTGTCAACTCCTTAAAGATTAATATAAAATAAAATAAGGAAAATGTGGAAACTTAATAACATACCTAGTATAAATCCAAAATTAAATGTTACTGATAACACTATAGAAAATGTTTTTGGTAATTCATTATATATAAATTTCTATTCTAAATTTTGTTAGTTTAATTATCTCTGATATCATTTTCTAAAGATAAAGTTAAATGGAACAAGTAAATTATATCTTTATTAAAATGTAAATTTAAAAAAAAGTATAAGATTACCTTGACATTACCTGATAACTGAAAGACTCTATACATTTCACATACATCAATACCTATCAGGAGCAAAAAATAAGGTCTCTAACCTTTTAAAAACTATGATAAATCAAAACAAGATTAAATATGCAGACAAAAAAAAACGCAAGCAACTATATAAAAATATTAATTTTACAACTTATTTAAACTTACAGTGTCATACCACTTGTCACATGTTTAAAATAGCTAATTCTAAAATAATAGTGAATATAGAATATAGTAGAATAATAGTTAAAGTGTGATATAAACTTAGTCTTGACTCAACTAAATAAATATGCACGCCAATAGAAATGCAAGTTACAATATAAATTTTACAACCAATTTAAACTTACAGTATGACAGCTTATACCAAGTGTCTAAAATAGCAAATTCTGAAATAATATAAACAAGCCATACACAAACTTAGTTGTAATCTAATTATATAAACATGAACGTCAAAAGAAATGCAAGTTAAAATATAATTTTTTAAATTTACTATTATATAATTTTTTAAATTTACTAATTCAAACTTACAGTGGGATACCACATGCCACGTGTCTAAAACAGTAAATTCTAAAATAATACAAACACATCAAATATAAACTTAGATTAAACTCAATTAAATAAATATGCAAGTTACAATATAAATTCTACAACCAACTTAAACCTACAATGTGACACTAAATGCCGTGCCTCTAAAGCAGCAAATTCTAAGATAGTATAAATAACTCATATATAACCTTAGTTGTAACAATTAAATAAACATGAATGTTAAAAGAAATAAAAGTTCCAATATAAATTTTTTAATTTTACAACAAGTTTTAACAGTGGGATAGCAAATGCCATGTGTCTGAAACAAAAAATTCTAAAATAATATAAACACACCAGTATAAACTTAGTTTATGATATTGGATGCCACATGTTTAATTTGGAAATTAATAAAAATTGCAATTTTTAAAAGCATATTAACTAGCCATGTAAACTTAATATGGTATGTTACTACATGTCATATGTCTAAAATGTAAAGTTAAAAAAGACTATAACTAATCCATTTAGTCTATATTATAGAAATAATTGTTCAACTAACTCTTTACTACTAGTAAAGGATTAGTTGAACTTTTATTTCTATAATATAGACTATATGGATTGCATATATTCTTGCATAATTTTCTTGATTTAGACATGTAGTAACTTACCATATATATGTATTAACTTACCATATATGTTATTATATATTATTTAGTAATAGTAATGGCTTTTAATTTAAAACAAAATAAACCTTATTGTTAAATTTTCTATATAAAGCTTTATATAGAAAATTTAAAATAATCTAAATAACCTTCCAAATTACAAATAACAGAGCGTATTCCATACAAAGACGGATTTGAAGTTTTTAGAGATAGAGAATAGAACCCAGAGTTAGAAAGTGTTGAGCTCGATAAAAGATGTAACTATAGCACATGCTAATTTTGCAACGAATTTGATATAAGGTTTCCAAGAAAGATCAGAAGTAAGAGTTAATCCTAGAAGATAAAGGGTAGATGACTCATAAAGGGTAGATGACTCAAAGTTCACCAGCCACTGTGAGCCCCATGCTGTAGCAGAAGTGAAATCCTTTTCAAGTTCAAATGCCCCCTGCAAGCAATCAGATGGAGTTGGCTTCTTATCGTGACAAGAATAAATGGTAGTATCATCAGCAAACAATGCCACCTTAGATGTGAGAATATCTGGAAGATCGTTAATGTAAATTAAAAAGAGTATAGGGCCAAGGATTGAACCTTGAGGAACCCTTGAGGTTACAGAATAAGAAGAGTGCTGTCCATCAAGGACAACTTTTATACTGCGATTGGAAAAGAAGGATTCAATAATCGTAAAGATGTTTCCAGATACACCGTAAGAAGAAAGCTTATGGAGAAGACCAGCACGCCAAACTTTATCAAGTGCTTTAAAAGTGTCAAGGGTGATGGTTTTAACCTCTTTACCTTTATCTAATGCGCGATAAAACTTATTGGTTATTACTGTTAGCAAATCAGCTATAGAACGAGAAGATCGAAATCCATATTGATGATCAGAAAGTAAGTTATTAGATTCATAATGAGAGATTAAGTGTTTGTTAGTTAAAGACTCAAAAACTTTGCTTATGATAGGAAGAAGACTAATGGGACGGTAGTTAGACAAATCAGATCACTCTACAGAATTTTTAAAAATAGGGATAACAGATGCTGCTTTCCAGCAGGCTGGAAAACAAGACTCTGATAAGCACTTGTTGAATAGTTTTGAAAGGATAGACGACAGCTCCAGAGAAAACTTCTGCTAGACTATAACAGGTATGTTGTCCGGGCCGCAAGCTGTAGAAGAGTTTAGGCAGGAAATCACTTTAGATACAGAAGCTGGAGTGATACGGATGTCGAGCAATTGATCAACCTGTTTGATGGCTATATCAGGTAGAACGCAATTAGTGGAATCAAGAGATGATATTGATGAAAAGTTCTTAGCAAACAATTCAGATTTGTCTTTAGGTGAGGTGACAAAGTCTAAACCATACAAAAGAGGTGGAATTACAGACTTACCCTTATTATTGATACTATTAAAGATTCTCCAGAAGTTACGAGAGCCTAATTTTTGAGATGAAATACGAGATTTCATGATCTGAGAAAAGCGGGCTTTAGCGTTAAAATGGTTTTTAAAATGGTTCCTATCAGTAATAAACAGACGTCTGTTTTCTGGAGAATTGTTTTGCTGATAGATATGGAAGTAATGGTTTCGATTGGCAATTGCAGCAGCACAATATGAGGAAAACCATGGAGAAGAGTGAGGCTGGACCTGGAATCGTCAAGAGGGAATAAAGTTTATTCCCTCTTGACGATTCCAGGTCAAGCCTCACTCACTTTATTCAATAAAGGATTCCATGCCAGCCTGAATCCACAAAGTTAATGACAAATGTAAGAAGCACATTTGTCAACAGGAAGACAAAAGATTTCTACCCAAGGGCCATCACGAAGAAAGTCACGGAAAAAGTCCCAGTCAGCTTTAAGGTAGTTGTATAATGTGCAATGATAGGGGAAGTCTGATGATAAAGAAGAATGAGATAATAGTTTTAGAGAGTTCAAACTGTGATCTCTCTAAAGGGTGAATGTGGAGAAACTGAGCACTGACTAGGATCAGAAACAAGACATAAGTCGAGTAGAGAAGGTAAATGATTCGGGTTGTCTGGAAAGCGAGTTGGAAAGTTGACTATTTGAGTTAGGGATTGAGAAAGGCAAAAGTTGTGGGCTTTAATGCCTGCAGAGTCACTGACACTAGAGCCAAGCCATTCAGTGTGATGAACATTAAAGTCACTGACAACAACAATATTGGCTGATGGATAAAGAGAAAGGGCTTGGTCAATATGATCAGAAATAACATCAAGAAGAGTGCAGTCTTGAGATGAAGAAGAGTGATATAGAACAAAGAGAAAGGTGATAGAGTGAAGTGGTGCTAAATGAAGGCACATAAAAGAGTAGTCTGTGGATTCAAACCTAGTTTCCTGACAAATGGGAGAATTCTTACGAATGTAAATGCCCAGGCTAAGCATGTGGCTATTGGAGTCTTTACGAATTAAAGGGAGATAACCATCAACACTAAGATCACAAGATGAGACAGCTAAACTCAAATTAGTCTCACAAAGAGCAAGTAGGTCTGGTGAACTTTGCAAGAGATAAGACTCAACAGAAGAAAAGTTACTTCAAAGACGACGAATATTAGTGAATGATAGGTTTAGCAAACTTGGTGATGACTGTGCTTTTTTGTGTTTTATAGTTTTTGTTACATTATTCATTTTTAAATTTGTGAAAGAACTTGACTCGAAACATAGATAGTACTCAGTACACTGTTTAATAGCCCAAGCAATTGCCTCATTACTTTTAATAAACCCTAAGCCGTAACAAAGGGCTCCGATGTGGCCTTGGCAATGCTCACCAAAAGTACAAACAGGGACATCATCCATGCGCAACATGGCACTGTTAGTACTTTTATATTTTACAGCTGTTGATGGAATCAGCCTCTCTGAGAGCTACCACAGAGTTCGGGAAACCTGACTACCAGCCGGCCTCAGAACCATAAAACTGAGTTTTAGAGCTGTACCCTCATTAGGAGATAATAGAATGAGTTGCCTTGTCATAAAAACCTATGCATCGAATCAAGAAGATCCAGAATTCAACATCCTAAACTGGAAACAATGTATTAAAAATTCATCTGCGCCAGCCTAATAGATGAAAAAGGGGTGAGAGGCTGGTCAACAGATATAATCTGTTACCCCTTAAAAAAGTACATATAATATGTAAGTTTTGTATTTGTTAATCAAGAAAAAATTAATTTTTGTATATAAATATATATTTTTTAATTTAAATACCTAATATACTAGATATTAAAATGAGCAGATTAAATTTACGTATAAAAGCCTTTGTTGCTTGTTTAAATTGACCCTAAATGAGCATATTGCAATCAAAGTTCTTTTAGTTTCGAAAACGATCTTAAAATGATACAAAATATTTCTTTTACTAATACCTAGAAACTATATCGGCTAATGTAATTGCCAAAAATTACTATATCGGCTAATGTAATTGCCAAAAACTTGCCAAAAAAATAAATCGTTTTGCCATAAATACCGCATTTATAATGATAAAAGATCACAAAGATGATTTTGGCAACAAAACTAAATGCTGATGAATTAATCCATCCAAACCTAATCTAAGAAAGGTTAGTAAAAGTGGAAAACATTAACAATAATGTGAGAAACCTTACCATTGTAAATCAACCGTTTTATAAGCCTTGAAAAATCATTACTTTATACTGAAAGTATAAAGTAATGATTTTTCAAGAAAATTATAACTTTACACTGAAAATAATAGTATTTGGGTCAATAAACTTGGAGATCCTAATTTTGGCATTTAGGAAGTTTTGATAGGACTGAAGTATATGAGTTAGTTGGCCACTTAATTCTTCATAAAATAAGTCAAGACTATGGGTTGCAATCTGTTGGATTATATAAAGATATGCTTTTGCCTATCTGCAATCTGTTGCAATCTGTTGCAATCAATTACAATCTGTTGCAATCTGTTGCAATCTATCTGCAATCTGTTGCAATCTGTTGCAATCTGTTGGATTATATAAAGATATGCCTTTGCAGTTTTCATGGAATTAATGGACCACAATCCAAGAGAATAAAGAAAAACATTAAAAACATTAAAAAGTTTAATCTAAAACTAACAGTAAAAAACCTAAAAGTATTAAACTTTCTTGATGTCACGTTTAATGTGTCAGAAAAAACTTTCCAGCCATTCACAAAACCAGGTGACCACTTACATCAATATAAATTCTAACCACTTCCTTAGTGTTATTAAATTCATAATGTTCAAGCGTATTGGTAATATTTTATCTAGCAAGGAAGTTTTGATAGAGCAACACCATTTTATAACAGGTCATTAGCAGCTATTGGCTGTAATAAAAAGATTATTTTCCAAAAAAACTTTGCCTCAATGAAACCAAAATCAAGATCATGAAACATTATTTGGTTTAATCCTCCATTTTCATACAATGTTAGAGCCAACAAGAAATTTTCTAAATCGGCTAGACTAAATTGCTATATCTTCTAGTTAAATATGATCTGACTCTAGACAATAATCTGAGGTATGAAAAATGCAATAAACTGTGCTTATGTCATGATGTTTCATTTTAAAAAAAAAATGGTTTAATTTTATTGCTTCTAAAATCTGCTTATGAAGTTCTGAAATTGACTGCACTTGATTTATAAAATGATTTAGTTTTAACACTTACTTCTGAAATTTCAGCCACAATCAATGATAAAGTTAAGTTTACAGTAATGACATGACCATTATGCCAGGTCTTATACTCTATAAAATTGCCAGATTGGCATAAATTTCAATTGAAAGTGAGTTTTCTCAAACAATTGACTTTGAATTGTCCATAAATTGTTTTGCTTCATTGAAATCTTGCAGGAAATTTCTTAGTTAATGCTTGCTTCTAGTAATATGTCTACATAATACTAGAAGCAAGTTCTTTTTTTAATAATTAAACATTGCAGTAATATGATTCTTATTTTATTAAAGATAATTGTGAAATAACTTTAAAAAACTCTTGTTTTTTCTTGTTTAAAAAACTCATGTTGTTTCTTGTTTCTTAGATGTACGTAATAGTTATGATAAAAGTCACTGGCGTTGATAATATTTGTTAATCATAAATGCAATACTCAGGGGGAAAAATGTGCCTATTGCAGCTGCTCATTCTCTTTGAACCCTCCCCCCCCCCTCTCACTCACACATGACACTTCACATCAATCCGCCACTTTATATAACATTTAGTAATATAAACATTATATATATATATATATATATATATATATATATATATATATATATATATATATATATATATATATATATATATATTACATATACTATTATTAATGTTGTTTTTCATTTAAACAAAATTTAAATATATAGTGCTCTATTATTGTAATATTGAGTGCTGTTTTATGTTCAAGAGTTTTGTATTATTTTAATATGATATAATACATAAACAATCAATATATGTATATATATATATATATATATATATATATATATATATATATATATATATATATATAATATTTAGTAAATCATTTTTAATATTCAATAAAATAATTCATCAAGCTATATCATCTCAGTTTCATCGTTACTATCAATATGGCGAGTTTTCTCCTTGTATTAGAGAAAAGAAAAATTTTAAGTCATGTCTTTGGTATAAAGTAAGAAAAACTGCTGAATTAAAGGTGTGTTTTTTTCTAGAAGGAATTTTTTTAATTAATTGTCAAAAACTAGTTTTTGATTAAATATCTTATATTTAATTTTTGTTGCTTCACTATAAGAATTTACAATTTATTTTATATCATATTTTTGATTAAATATCTTATATTTAATTTTTGTTGCTTCACTATAAGTATTTACAATTTATTTTATATTTAAAGCTTTTATGATATACATCCTTTATTATATTAATAATTTCAAAATATTAAGTCACGATTTTTTAGTTATTTAAATTATTTACAAGATTTTTAAAAAAATTTTTAGTTAGAATATATTGTATAACAAAAATAAACTAAAAAAGTTTTTTTTAAAGTATATCATTGGTATTTTATTGTCCATCCAAAACCAAATATTTTGGTTAGCAGTATGTGCTGTTGCGCTGTTAATTTCTCATTAGAGGATAAGATTTCAAATTACTTGGGAGAGTTAATCAGTATAATTGCTAAAAGATCTTGGAAAATAAGCTTTTACCTACTGCTAGATCATTTTTTGCAAGGTGTAAAAATTGTATTTTTTAAAATACAATTTTTACATCTTGCAAAAAATGATCTAGCAGTAGGTAAAAGCTTATTTTCCAAGGTCTTTTAGCAATTATACTGATTAACTCTCCAAAGTAATTTGAAATCTTATCCTCTAATGAGAAATGCATCGCCATATACGAATCAAGCCGCTAGCACTTGTACTACACAAAATCTTTCCTTTCTCTAATCTTTTAATGATAATTCTTGATATATGATTAACTACATCGAATTTGATTCATTACTAAAAATAACCTAAGACCAATCTTCTACTGACCAGTGAAGTGTTTTAATACTATTTGTCAACATTAATCGCTAGTTTCTGGCATCAACATAATCAATGCCTTTTTTTCACCTAGCTGTGCTACACTAACACTAATGTAACCTGTCTTATTACTAAACTCAGCTGACAGTTCTTGGTAGCTAATAAGTGCTATATATCAATAGAAAGCTAATTGATTAATAAACTCAGAAATTAAAAAAAGTAGTTTTAACGACTTTTCATTTAAAAAATTAATTAAGAAGTAATTAGGAAGTTAATTAATTAAGAAGTAATTAAACTGTAAAAAAAAATCAAAGTGAACTTATATTTTCGAGAGCCACTGTATGTTGTATTTTATATGATTTTCTTAGTTTATTAATTAGATAAAATTTGTTTTAGTTTTTAAACATTAAAATATAATATATAATAAAAAAAAACAGTATAGCTTATATTATTCAGAAATATATATATATAGTAAATTTTTTTTATATTTTATCAAGGCCGAACTTATTGCTGAAACAAAAGAAATAGACGATTTCCTCAATTTTGTTCATAAACCATCGTCTTCTGTGTGGGAATTTCGAGAAGACCCTGCGGCCGATTGGCTTAAAAAAGAAGAGCTTCATTAAACTACTTCTAGATTTTTATGAGTTTGATAAATTATTACTATGAAGTAACTTGTTTTTTTGTTTTTTATCTACTAATTTTTGTTTTTGTTTTTTATTTAGGGGCCATTTATAAAGTACGTACGCAGATATGGGGGAGGGGGCCTTCCCAAAAGCGTACTAATGCGTACAAGGGGGAGGAGGTGTTAAAGACAGTGAGTACGTACGTGGTTTTACTATCCTAAACATGATTTTATTTTTTTAAAAAAAGCATTGAATTTTACGTGTGTAACAAATCAGAATTGTTTTTTTTTTCTGACTTCAGTTTTTTTTTTAATTCTTTATAAATAGTAAAAGAAAAAAAAAATGCGTATGTACGCGGAAGGGGGGGAGGTCTTCGAAAGCGTACAGGTTCGTACAAAAGGGGAGGGGGTCCTAAATTAGTGATTTTACTGCGTACTTACTATATGGATGCCCCCTTACGATATTTCTGCGCATATATTTCTTTTTTACAATATTGCTTTATTATTTATTACAAGAGAATAAAAATAATGAACTCTTAAAAATAATCGCTTGTTAAAACTTACTGATCTTTGTAATAACAAGTTATTTGTTTTAGCTAAAAGTTTTGTAAACAGTTATTTATGTTTTAACGCCAAATTTAAGATCTTACTGAAACCAGCATTATTATAAGATGGGTCTAAAAAATGGTCATGCAGTTCAAACCGTAATTTGTGGATTTTCGCCATAGTCACCGCTTAGGAGTTAGACGGTGCGTTGTTTTGGTGAAACAGGACTTCACGTAACATATAGAATTCAAATTTTTAATTGTTTTTATTATAAAAAAAATTAATTTTTTGTATTTATGGCATCATACTGGACCACTGCACTGTACTATTCCTCTTAATTAGTCATTAGTATAGTACTCATAATGTTATTACCATTACTGCGGTATTAGTGAACTCGCGCTAATTACCGTGATGTGGCCGTTATTTTTCAAAAACTGATTCTTTTATTATAGTAAAAAGCAATATTTGACAAATATCTCTATGTCACTTTCTAATGTACGATTTATATAAATAATTTAGTTTAACCCTATTATTTCACTAATTTAGGAATATTGAATTAATTATACATTAATCAGTTGGTCTAATGGCTGTGTAGATGCAATTTTAAACGAGAGAGAAATTAAACACAAGCTTTTAGATAGTTTAGTCAAAAAGTCCTATATAAAGATCCTATAGGATGCTATAAGAATTTGGAACAAAAAAAATTTCAGATTTGAACTCCATTAAATTAAAACACATAGGGGAGACCGGGGCTAGTTGGCTCGGTTTTTACTCTATGAGCTCTGTAGCCCTAATAGCACACTTTTTTGAAAATATTAAAGTGTAGTCTCAAAGCGTATGAACTTGGGTAACTTATAAAAGTTTCATGGATTTACAAAAAAAAATTCTTAGGGCCTTACGGGGCCCTCAAAAAAAAAAAAAAAATTGCGCCAACTTACCCCACCACGGGGTAAGTTGACGCAAACTATAAACGTGATTATTAATGTACTATTAAGTGCAAAATTAATAGAAATTTTTTACCTATTAATTTTGGCAACAATTTAAGCTAATAATTTGATATTATTTTTAGCTTGTGCTAAATATTAGTACGTATAACAGCCAAAACAGCAGCCCTCTTTTTACCTGTTACAAAAAACCTAAAAAAAAAATTTTTATAATTTTTTTGTAAGAATAAGTTTTTTCAATATTGTTAAAAATTAAAAAAATTAAAAAAATTATTTTTATAAAAATAAATATTTTTCTCCATAGTAAATGCTATGAGCCAACTTACCCCGTAAAAATTTTGTCAACTTACCCCGAAGGCTTTTTTTTCAATAAACAGTCTATAGATCCTGAAAAACGGCAACTTTTTAAAAAAGTCAAACTGAATATAGTAAACCAATTGTGGCTAGAACTTTTACAATAATTTTTTTTCCATTTGACTAACTATTTTCTTTGTAAAGTAAAAAGGAAGCGATGTTTCAAAAGTTACGTTTTTGTCCAAAAAACACTTAAATCTTAATATCTCCCATGCGCATGCGCGAATCCTGACAATACTACATTGAATGATGAAACAGTCAATTAGGAAGATTCTGTGTAATTTTTATCACTTTCTGATGAAAGGCTTTAAAGATAAACGCAATTCGTCAACTTACCCCTGCGGCCAACTAGCCCCGGTCTCCCCTAAGTTAAAAAGTTTTGTATTTTTTTTTGTTGTTGTTCCAAAATCCTATAGGTCCTATAGGACTTTTTGGCTAGAGTAAACAGCCATTTCCTTTATGAAAGTGTCAACAATTTTTCAACAAACGACTTGAAAATACTACAAATGTGAAAATTCTCGATATTATGCGTACAAGAAAACAATCTTTGCACGCAAGAAGCAATAAAATCTTTCTGCAACAGGCTTCAACATGTCTCAGCCTACTATTTCAAGAAAACTCAAACGCTTGGATTTATCAAGAAAACGTGTTGTGCATGTGCCAGAAGAATAAAACTCAACACGAGTTATTAAGGTGGTACACCACTAAAAAGCACTTTTTCAATTTAAAATTGGAATAAAACCAAAAACTCATATTTTTCTGATTATAAATTTATAAAAAAAAATATTTGAAATGAAATTTTTTTCTAAAAGTTTTTTTTGCATCCATAATGGCGGAAAAACTGCTTAAAAAATGCATTAAATTGAATAACTTTGTGACGTGATATCTTCCGTTATATACATTTTCTCTAGTTCAAGCTTAGTATATTGTTGCATTATAATGTTTTATTCCGGTTGACAGATGGATTTTTAATTTAAGGACATATTTTAAGTTTTATTACGAATTATTGAAAATATGCTTGAAATTCTAAGTAATTTGACTTAACATGTGAACTAATTTCTTTATTTAAAAATATTTAAGAAGAATTTTTTAAATCCCATCTGTTAACCGAATTTCTTGAGTATATTGAGTATACCCTGAAAATTTCAGGCAAAAATCATTAGCCAATACAAAGATATTACGTTTCAAAGTTACCCTAGTATTGCAAAAATGAAAAACTGTAAAAAACACATTTAAAGTTTTTTTCCAGTAAAATCTTGGTTAATGTCCACCAGAAACATATGACTGATTAGTTTCATTTGAATTTTGTTTATCACTGAACCCTTTGGCTATTGATCTTAACTTTTTTCTTTGCTTTATACACTTTTGTGTCGACTTTCGTTTCAATTGATTCACACGAGAATTGTCAAACTGAACAGATGTTATTACTGTTATATACCCAGTCAAATTGAACTCTTTTAAAACATCCAAAATACCTTTACTACCATCATTAAAATGAATAACAGCAGAGTAAGTTCCCATTTCAACTGTTTCTCTACTGACAAAAGTGTTTTTGGGAACCCTAGACCATATGAGGGCATTCAAGGACTCATTTGGATTTTGTGTCTTACAATGAAGGCATTTAGATAGCAGTTGATCGTCTTGTAAGCTTTTAAAAATTGTTATTAGCAGGTTTTTAATCCAGACTGGAATTGAATTTGATGTTATATACTGCTTTGTTTTACTCCAATACCTGCACCAGCTTTCAGAATCCTGAGGACAAAACTGATGACGCTCATCTTGATTCAGAATATTGGTAAAGTGGAAAAGAAAAGCATATATAGACTTCTTCATAGCATAAATATTAGTAGTGTTTCTTCTAACAGCAATGCCATAGTAGTTTTGCATTGAATTTATTATCTTATCTGTCAGTTTATTTTTACCAGACAATGGTGTTTTAGTGCCACTATGTAATTTTACTAAACTCCGTAATCGGGTACCCATACGCTTATAGTATAGTTCAAAGCTTTCAAAGTATAGTTCAAAACTATACGAATATAAAAAAGAAGCCTAGCATAGCCTAGGTATATTCCATAAAAAATAAGCCAAGCATAGCCAAGCTTAAGCATAGATTTTAGGGATTGAATTAGGGTTTTTTATTCTGTTGCTAAGGCGTTGCTATGGTCAAAATTATCAACAACTTTAGAAAAATGCATTTTTAAAGTGTTTTATGTAGTTAAACAATTTAAGATGGTTATATCAAATGAAAAAGGATAAAATTTGGAAAAAAACAAGTCCAAAAACTAAATTTTGAAATTTTACTCCAAAACCACTGTTTTTTTAGTGGTGTACCACCTTAATGCACGCTATGCATTTGCAAGCGAAATAAACGGAATTTCAGATGAAAAACTTATTTATTTGGATGAAACTGGATTTAATGTGCACACTAACAGCACCTATGGTTATTTGCTAAGAGGTTCTTCAGCAATTTTACAGTCACCTACAAAACGTGGCAAGAATGGTAATTTAAATTAAATTTGTGCTGTTTCAACAACGGGAGTGCTTGCTTATAAAACAAAAACTGGAGGCTGGAATACAGATTCATTTTGTACTTTCATAACTACAATGATAGCACCAGCGATTAGGAATGCAAATGTGGAAGCACCGGTGTTTGTTATGGACAATTGTAAATTCCACTGGAGTCTTTCTGTTAGGCAAACACTAGCCTCTCATGGTATAGCTATTAAGTAATCTGCCAGCATACACGCCACAGCTTAATCCAATAAAAGAATTTTTTTCTTCTTTAAAACATACTTACAAACAGGGAGAAAGGCCTCGAAATACGGATGGGGTAATCAGGTAACTTAAAAATATTATGGATACTACAGTTTAATTTAATTCCATTTTACAACCATATGCGTAGTTACATAAATCCAGCGCTGGCTCGGCAACCATTTCTTAAATAAATAACCATGAAAACAACCTAATTTATATTTTGAATATATCTATATAAAAATTTTAAAAGCATATTTATTGTTTATATTTAATTATATTAGAGATTTTATGAGTGGTTGACCCGCATATAAACGCGCATATAAGAATGAATAAATGCGCATATAAGAATGAATAAACACGCATATAAAAATATTTTTATATAATACAGGGTTTTATAATACAGGGTTTAATTTTATAATACAGGGTTATTCATTCTTATATGCGCGTCTATTTATTTAAATAAATAGACGCGCATATAAGAATGAATAACCCTGTATTATAGTAATTTAAAAAAATGATAATAGTAACTACCCTAGCAATATTGCGGGAAGAATGTAGGCAATAATATTTAATCTTTAACAGACTTTTTCTTTTAAACGACAAATGAAATCTCCTTAATTTCTGACATATATGTAAGTATGTTTGTATATGTGTGTTTTTATGGGTATAAGTATATATGAGTATATATGTATAAATGAGTTTTTCTTTATTCTTCACGTAGTATTTAACTGATAAAATATTTGTTGTAAATTTTCTAAAGCCACGTGGGCTTTAAATGATATTGTAAAGGGGCTCTATGAAAAGACCTTAATAAAAATTGCTTAAACCAACTTTATAACTCTTTTATCCACAGTTACATAAATTATGCTAGCACTGCTTGGAGGTATTGTAAAAAGTTAATAATTGAGTTAATAATACTATTAAACTCAAACCTAATATCAAATACAATATATTTGATTTTAGCTTTGAAACATAAACTTTTTAAATCAGCCATTTTGTCACACAAAATTTTATCAATTTTGCATTACTCATCCTGGACTAAGGAATAATATTGTTCTGCGGAATCGAACCAACTTTCTTTTATCTTTTGAAGCTTAATCGAAAAAAGTCTAATTTTTCACTTGATAATATACTCAGATCTTTTTAATATTTTGAAAACTGTTATTCAACTTGGATTTTATTACTTTTTTATTTTAATTTTTACTTTATTATTTAGTATGTTATACTTGTCTTTATTTTGCTTGTTTGTATTTTATAAGGTTCTGACGACAAGATCTTGTGATCTTCTTTCAGATCCTAGCTTATGTTTCATTGTTAGCAATATATATATATATATATATATATATATATATATATATATATATATATATATATATATATATATATATATATATATATATATATATATATATATATATGTGTGTGTGTGTGTGTGTGTGTGTGTGCGAATCTATAGATTTGTAAGTGTATATGCATTTGCATATATGCTTATACTTATATATGTATGTGAGTGTTTTTCTTATTTTAATTATCCTGATATTGGAATTTTTTTAATTGTAACACGATATATATGACATATATAATTGTACTGTGACATTTTAATTAAATTAAAAAATAAAAAAAAAAGGAAGATTTTTGTTTGTTTGTATTATTTATTTATTTAGGCTTAAACTTGGAGTGATTTAAATTATTTTTTAGTTATATTTTATATAGTTTACTAATTTTATATTAATTTTATATATTTTTTAGTTATATTTTATATAGTTTACTAATTTTATATTAATTTTATATATTTTTTAGTTATATTTTATATATTTTACTAATTTTATTTATCTTCTCACATTATATTTTTATAACTTATTTAGATTTTTTATTTTATTCATTTTTACTTCTGCTTTGTTACATTATTATTAATCCAGCTACAAATGTAAAATACAATGTTTGCTTATTTAGTTATTATATTGTTTTATTAAACTGTACTACTATATTTCATATACTATATTACTATTCTAAAATATTTTACACATTTACTTTATATTGTTAATGTATAATATTTTTATGTACAATCATATCGTAACAGTAGGGGAAGTTGGGGTACAGTGGATCAAGGGGAAGTTGGAGTACAGTGGATCAAGGGGCACAGTGAATATAAGGCATTTTCTCAAAGGTTAGAATTTTATCTTGATAATATAATCATTTTATGTGCTTATATATCAGCAATTTTTATTATCATATATCAGCAATAGTTGTTACCACATAATTTACCTACCTAATAATTTACTTACCTAATAATTAACTACCTAATAACCTACCACATAATTTACCTACCTAAATAAACTACCGGTTTTTGGTAGGTAATTTTTATTTTTAGCTAATTAAAGTAAATTTTCTTGCCTTCCTTATGTTTGTTAAAGAGATCATGGTTGAAATAATTTTAAAAGTTGAAGTTTCTCGTTTGGATTATTGATATTTATGCTTCCTTTTAGTAGTTTAGCTTTTCCTTTAACAACACTTATACCCCAGGGAATTAGACTTACAATGAATAGGTTGATTCACGAATGATGGTTCATTAATGATCTTAAAGTTAAAATTAAAATCTTAAATTCATGCATTTTTAACAAACAAACTACATGAAAATGAACTTATTAGTTTCAAGTTATAAATAATAATTGAATAAGTTTTTAATTTTTTAATATTTTTATAAGTTTTATGACCAATAAAATTCTTTTTTTTTTCTTCTCAATTTTTAAAATGTTTATTATTTCGATTTTAAACTAATCTAGTTAATAAAAGTATGCCAAAAGTGTACAGTGTCTGTTCTCTCTCAGCCTTAAAGTTATTTGACTATGCCCCTATTCACTATCATTTATTCACGGCTGTGTTTATTTACTCACTGTGCCCCAGTACTTGGGCACAGTAAATTACCTAACACAACTCACTATAAACCTTTTTGTGAACCGTTAGATAATAAATATTTTGGTTTCGGTGATTTCTTATCATGAAGGACATATATCTTAATCATTTCGCCTTGAAAAAAATAAAATACATATTTTAACTTCTGCTCAATTTAAAAAATAAAGAAATCCGATCCACTGTGCCCCAACTTCCTCTATAATTACTGTTATGATTTCCTGAAATTACAATTAAGATATAACTTCTTTTTTCATTTCAGTCCCAGCGGGCAAAGACATTTTTTTTTTTAGTTTATTCGTTTCTTTTAATATTATAATTATAAATATACTACTAAGTTCCTTTTTTTTTTAAATTATAAGTATCGATGTTACAATTAGGCTTGAAAGGTGACGCGAGTAACGCAGTCGCGTCCGACCCCGCGCTTAAAAAAGGCCCAGCAAACACCAATAATAATATAAAAAACTCCTGCAAATTAGACACAATTTTTTTATAAGTATTAGAAATAGAGAAAAGTTAGTTTTTTCCCTATTTCTAACCCTTATAAAAATTAAAAAAAAGATATCACGCGTCCCAATGTATTCGTTTGGAAATTTAGGGTAACTTTCATTATAAGACTTTAATTTATAACTTTGTGCTGTATAGTATTGATTGTCATCACAAAATAGTTTATGTTACGTTAAAATATAGCGCAATGTGTTTAACTTTAATTTGTCCTATTCTCTCTTATAATCAGCTCAGCAAACATTTTTGAAGTGGATTTGCAGTAGACCTTTATTTATTTTATTATCAACCTATATATTATCAAAATATCTATACATTTTTATATAGGTGTTTTGAGCAGTTCATTGGAGTTTTGCTCATCGGAGAAACTTTTTTTTTTTTAGAAAATTCAGGATGTAGAGTCATCGGCTAGTCATATTTGGCGGCTGCCACTAGTTGTCCACAATTTTTTAACTACATTTTGTAGTGTGAAAATAGAAAAGACAAATAAATTGTATTTAATTTAATTGTGTAGGCTATTTTATAATTTAGATTACTTTATGTTAAAAAATATTAAGATTAAATTGTGTAAACAAAACGAGTTCTCAAACTATTAGTCGACTAGTGGTTTGAGATTTAAAACACAAGATTTAAAAGTATTTATAGACTTGATGCAATATTAATAAATCAAGGCACGTGTACATTTTTATTTTTTTATTTTTTTGTATCGAAAAGTGCGCTCTAAGCAATACAACGGCATCATGTTAATAAAAAACTTGGAAATATCTACAAAACTTCAAAATAAAAGGCTTCGGAAATGAAAGAAAATTTTTAATTACGAAGATTCATTAATTTCATCAATGATTCATCGGGGTTTTAATTGAAATTTTTCTTTCATCATTGCCAATGATAAACCTATATAAGATCCTGTAAACGTATTCAAGATATTCAATAATCTAGATTCAAGATATCTTTTTTTAATTTAGTTTTAAATTTAGCTAAACAATTGTTAGAAGATCCTTTTAAATAATTTAAAAATCATGATAATTTATTTACGCTTTTAAAAGGTTTTAAAATATCGAAAAAGAAGAGTTAAAAAAACGTGAAGCAGATTTAGAAATTGCTCTGACAGATTCTGAGGTACAAATGGAAATATCTAATGATACCATATGCGTTTCCAGATCTTATTCGTGCCCAACAGTGGCATACTTAGGGGGATCCTGCACCACCATCACCCCCTAAAAAAAATTAGGTTTCGGTTTAGGGATATCACCCCCAAATTTCTTATTAAGCTTTATCATTATTATCTAATAATGAAAAAGTCAGTTTTACTTTTTTTATTTGGAATAAAAAACAAAATTCTTTTTATTAGATAAATAATTAACAAAGCATATGAAATTGTATTTAGTGTTTTAAAATATAATTTAAAAATTTCTGAAAAATCTCCGTGTCAAAAAACGCATGAAGGGTCACTAACAGCACCACTACTAACACTTTTAAGTAGTGTATAATTATATAGAGATCGATATAGCAATTTATGATGTAAGTTAGATCAAATTTTGCAGATCATGTCTGTGCATGACAGGCAAAACCCGTAGACACGCCTATTAATGATACTGTGAAGTTAGAAGCAGACATAGAAAACATAATTTTACTTGAAGAAATAAAAGATCCAATTTTTTCTGCTGAATATTTTCAAAACCTATTTAAAATGTTTCAATTTTTATCTGAAAATGACAAAGCTACAGCATTTCCAAACTTTAGTTCTCAAATTTTTTGCCCTTTGCAAAATTATACAATTCCAGCGAGCGTTGGTTCTGGAGGTCGTATATTAGAAAATAAACGCAATCTTGCTCAACATTAATACTTTTCACCCGCACTTAAAACAAACTCATACTACTTTAAATTTTTTTAAATTTTAAATTAAATGAAACTAAAAGAAAAACGTATTAAAGGATAACATTCTACAGTGTTTTAACTAGTTTGAAAAAATTATTTTTTTTAATAGCCAATACGCTTGCCGCTAAAAATGTTGTTGAAGAACAATGAAAGATCGTTAAAATTTAAATCATTAATTCATAGTGCGATCGAAGAAATTAGATTGATAAAACTTGAGAATACAAAATATAAATGGAAAGAAAACAATCTTTTAAGCATGGTTGCAAATCTTAAATCAAGGAACAGCGAACTGGAAAAAAACACTGCTGAATGTGAAAAACAACTACGCATAGCTCAAGTAACACTGAGTGATTTAAAAACAAAGATCGAAAAGGTAAACGACAATTTTGACGAATATTTTTCCAGAGATAAAATTTGTAATTTTGAGTTCATTTTTGGTTTAATTTTGTAGCAAAAACGAGTTCCATTTGGGGTGCACGTGTCAGCAATATACCGTAAAACATCAAGTAGTAACTACTTGATGTTTTACGGCATATTGTATATTTCGAATGAGTTAATAAGTTTTAAACAAATATTATCAAATAAATAATATTGAAATATTTATTTGATAATAATTTAAAAGTATTAAATTTAGTATTTATTAAATAAACAACTTTGAATTACAAAAAAGTATCAGCTAAAAAATGTATTTTGCTTACAATTTTCATAATAGCCGTCTTAAACAGGTATAATCAAAATCAACCTAACAACTTAGCAGTTCTAAATATTTCAAATTATTGATAGCATAGTTCTTCTTTTTATTTTCTTCAAATCAACTGTATTTATCTATAAAACCTCCATACGCAAATTTTGAATGATATAATTGTCGATTGAAATTTTATATTACAATCACACAAGATAACTAATGCTTATGATTTATTCCTGAACCAACTTTGTAAAATATATAATAAAACACAAAACATTTTAAACCATGCACAAAAATGTTTAAGCAAATATGTTTATTTTTCTCATATTAAACTTTAACGGAAATAGATTTTAAGTTAATTTTATTTGTTTATTGATGATATTTATGTTTATATTAGTAAAATAGTCGGGGGGGGGGGGGGAATATGCAGACACTCAACATCCTTAAAAGTAATTGAAAGATAGACGACCTATATGTTAAGTGAAAAGTAATTGACCCAAGTAATTGAAAGAAAAACAACCTTTTTTATATATAGATGGCATAAATGTTTATTCAAGTTTATTATTTATACCTTTTGGAGGTTTATTTTTGAAAGCGAGTCTTGGTTTTATTAACAAATCGATGAAAATCGATTACAGTAATTTAATGTTTAAACATTGCAAGTCTGAAGGCAAATGAAAGCAATAATATTAAAAATAACATTTTAAACATAAAATATTTAAAAAAACAATATTATGTTGGTATTGTGCAGTGAAAATATATTTATTTAAGTACTTCTGTCTTTTTTATAACATTATTTATATATTTATAAAAAAAACATTATTTTTAAAAATTTACTAATTAAAAGCCTTTCTCTTTTAATGACATCGACCACATTGGTCGATACTGATACCAATGTCGCTTATATAACCAGAGCCGGAATGATATATTGAACATAATTTATTGTATTTATAAAATTTAATACAATTCAACGCAAAGTAATATTTTTCTTTAGGAAGAAATAGCGCCACTTAAAAATGATTACGAACAGTTGAAAGAAGCTAGAAAAAATGAACTAGAAGCATTGAAGTAAGAGCTTTTATAAAAAATTTGTATTTTGCTATTTGAAAAGTTTTCCATACATTTTCTATTTGAAAAACATTTGCGATTTGAAACATTTATACATTTATACATACATTTCGTTATGATATTCTATATTCAGAACATATGCTATTAATTTTTACCAAAAATTAAATGCTTACAAATTGCAAAATAAAAGTAATCAATTTATATAGGGAAATCAATATAAATTTCATCAATAAGAATTTCCAAGAATTTTATGGAATCAGTTTTTCCAATTAGTGATTTAATAGTGATAATTTTAAAGAAAGATTTATATTTAGTATATTTTGTCTAATTTAAGTGAGTTTAAATTTCAAACCTTAAGTGAGAGTATAACTGATGATGCACTTTCCGATCTAGTGATTTGATTTATGACGTAAGTCATAAATCAAATTTCCTAACTCAAATTCCACTATTTTAGAAAAGAAGCCAAAGAGGGATTATATATGACCAAAGGCACACATTCTCCCGTTAAAAGCAGACGCATAGCACATTGCTATATCTTTTCCAGAGGAAGCAAAAGGATGTATAGTTAAACATTCCCTTCTTTTCACTTATCATATTTTGACAACTTTCCCCTCTCCCGCCTAAACTAAATCATTTGGAGTACTATCAACTCCATAGTTTACATACGTATACATACAAATCATTGCTTTTTAGTAAGCTTGCAAATTTTGTTATGATATATCGATAGCTTCATATCGTAGCTTTGTCGCAATGGTCCCTAGCTACCAATAAATGAATATAACTTCTCTTAATAACTTCTCGCGCAAGTAACTCACAACAATGGAACATGAATTAATGAAGATAGACCGACGAGCAATTCAGTTATTGTTTTGAAAAAATTACTGGGTTTAGCAAAAACTGTGTTATAAGTGATTCTCACCTTATTTTTTGTATTTTTAGGAATGCTAATGTAAAAATTGAAAAGCAAGACGAAGAACTGTTACAACTGCGGTCTAAGGTTTTACTTTATTTTTCATTGAAATTTTTTTCAATTATTACATATAGTTTGATAACCAATTTATTTTTTAGTATTCAGCATTACGTATTAAAAAAAATAAGTTAAGCAATTTGCTAAAACAACAAATGCAAACTAAAGTCTTCGAAAATGTATGAAAATAAGGTTGTTTAGTTTATGACTAATTATTTAACGCAGTTATTAAGACTATTTATTTAACGCAATTTCTATTTTTTTATTCAATTCTTTAAAATAATCGTTTTTAGGATATCGACAACAACAAAACTATGAAGATGAAGTTAAAAGAAGAGTGTTTGCTATTAGTGACTGAAATAGAAGCAAAAAACTCTGAGATAGCAGAAGAGAAAAAATGCACTGAATCAATAGTACTATTTTTTCTTGGAATCTTTTCTTTTTAATTAAAACTCTTTTTTATCTTATTTTATAGAAGGTAGCCTAATTTCGGTTTAAACATTAAGAAAGTTTAATTTGTTTTGGATTTTGAGCGACATATTTTTTCATAGGATTTTTTTAATAGATAAAGATTTTTGTTTTCTATAATAATGTGTAAAAAAAGAGAAGTTTTATGTGGTATATATTTCTTAAAATTAATTTTACAAAAAGTTAAAATTGATTAGATCTCAATTTTTTTAAACTAATATCAGTCACCGTTATAATCAATGACAAAAGAATAAAAAAAAATAGAAAACCAATTTATATAAGATGAAAGGAAAATGTGTTTTGATTTTCTACATTGAAGTTGTTTTTGCTGCTTGATTGGTATGTTTGCATTGTCTGTTACGTTATGTAGCCTTTTTTTATGTCGTTTTTCACCCACTGCTTGACATCCATTAGCTTGAAATACTTGACACTGTATTGTTAGTGATGGTGAAATTGATGATAAACCTGTGCAGTAGATGATGATAAACCTGTGCAGTAGATGATAGTCAATGCTAATCGTGATGCATGTGTATGTGTATACCTGCAACTCAGTGTCATCAGTATACGCTTTCTCGACTTCTGAGCATGTGGTCAATCAACAGCGTGCATCTTTGGCACCCAAAACAGTAGACACTCTAGAATTTAAATAATTGGGACTTAAAGTAAAATAAAATTTAAATATAAGTGAAAAAAAACATTTCTAAATAAATGATATCATTTGAATTAAAGATTTTTATTTACTGTTTATAAGAACAACTTAAAAAAAAAGTTTCAACGGGTACCCGCCCGTTTCTTTGACAGGTATTCGGGCTGGTACCTTTACAATTTTTGACAGCCCTAGTGTTAAGTAGATTCCTGATGCATTGACATAGTTGTTTACTATATAGTTAATATTTTTGGTCACCACTAAAACCATACTCATCACAGTTCTAAATATATGAAACTTTTAAGTTATCATTTTTGGCTTCATCATGTTGTTTCTTGTAACTGCTAAAATAGTTGTCAAATATATTTGAGGTGCAAGATTTTATTCCAATGTTATCTGGTTTTCTTAATTTTACATCATGTTTCTATCGCTTTTTAAAATTATACCAACACTGTGATAAAGATTTTTCATTTTCCAAATGCTCTTGTTTTGTGTTTTTCAAATAGTGTTGCACAAAGGAAGTTGTATCGGCTTTTTTCATAATCCTAATCGCTGAAATATTAAATAAAATGAATCAACAACTTTTCAGTTTCAACTGACAAAACCTTTGGCCTTCCACTTCCATGTTGACCTACGTTTTTACTTTTATTTCCACCAATCAATGTAGGTTTTTAATATATTGAACTTGAATGTACACTTTCAATAATGTTTCAAAGCATTTTCAATTTATAGTTGTTGTTTAGCATTTTGTTGAAAGTGACGATTTTTTATTTTTTATATCAGCTTGCAAGATATAAGATTAATATTAACAGAAAAAAATGGTATTCATTTATAAAAATTAAAAGGAATAACAAGAAGTAATATCGTATTTTATCAATTACTGACCGATTTGAGGAATTAAACATTTATTGTTTACTTCTCGTCACTTAATGCAACAAATAATCTTCACCTTATTCCGAACATAATTGGTTATTATTTTATGAATTTTATGATCAACTTGAGTAGAGTATTACCTTTATTAAATTTTTATCAATTACCTTTCCAGCTAACTCAAAACATTTAAGTACGTTCGTCAAGCGTTGAGAACGTTCGAGTACGTTCTACGAACGTTCATAGAATGTTCTTGAACGTTTGCAACGTTCGTTGAACGTTTTTTGTTAGGTGGGTTCTTTATTTTACAACATAATAAAATAAAAACATTACCATTAAATTCATAATAAAAAACTCAATTAGACTGCATTTAAAAAGTCTTCAAAACTAGTTTATTACTTTAAATTAAGGTAATTTTAAATTGGTAAATTATATTTTTTTCAAATTGAGGGTAGAGGGCGTACTCTATATTGATCTGTTTTTACCTTATGATATTTCTCAAATACTCTTTGTTTAATTTTATATTAAAAGTGATTGATTTAAATAGTGACCCAAAATACACTAACTTACCCTATTTTTAATAAACATAGACAAATGGCAAAGGTAAGGTGCCCAGACATATATATATATATATATATATATATATATACAAGAAAATCCTGGAAGACCTGGTCTTCCAGGGTTGTCTCGTATATATATATGAATTCTCATAGAAAAAAACGAGTATGAACATATTCTATTAGTAATAACATGTAAATAAAATACTTTTGAGTCAAGATGATTTCTTGAGGTTACGCTGAGATTTTGACAGGTTCTAATATTAGCGAAAAGGTTTTAAGAACTATAATAACCTTGGACACATAAGAAGTAGAATTTAAAGATTATATAAACTAAATATATATATATATATATATATATATATATATATATATATATATATATATATATATATATATATATATATATACATACATACAACATAATTTGCAATAAAGCAACTTTTTTTTATTTGTTTTTTGTTTGTTCTTTATTTATTCATAATTGCAATAAAGTATCTTTTTAGAATACCTTTTTTCTAAACCTGTAAGGCATTATTTTTTAGATTCTTTTTTCAATAATTTATTAACTAAAATTATATGCTCCGACGGCAAACTTCCTTTTAGCTTTTTAATTATTTTTAGATGGTCTGCGTTTTATATAAATTAGTCTTATTTTATCATAAGTTTTCGGTTTTGCATAAAGAAAACCACTCTAGAATTTCAAATAAAGATGGCTGACAAAAGTGTTAATAAGGTTTATTCCTTGGAGGAGCAACTGAAAACAGCTTTTAAAAACACTATTGCGAATATTAAATTGAAAAAAAAAATTGAAATAGAAATGGTTTGTTAGATTTCCCCTTTTTAGTCAGCAATCTATGTATTACTTTCATGAAAAAATTAAAAATCCAACAACTTCTGCACCAATATATTTCTCTACAACACTCAAAGGTCAAAGAGTCAAAAAACATAGATGAAAAACTAAAATGCTTAGTGTAGTTAAGGTCATTTTCACGATATGCGGTCTGTCAGTTATTAGTTTAAACAAGAGAGATTTTTCCGGAAAATATCTGGTTTGCATGATAAATAATCAGATAGTTTATTAGGGAAATTTTTTGTTTGCGTGAGGTCTTATTGTGGACCGCACTCAATCTTTCAAAATTTATTTAAAAAGAAAAAAGTCTACCAAAATAAAATTATCTTTTCAAATATAATTTTATATAGAGTAATTGCAACTACTTATAACAATTTGCAGAATTTTAATTTATTGAATCCTACTTTTAAGTTTAGTCTTGTATAGGTGGTGGAGTTATTTTAACTATTGCAAAGACATTCAAATTATAGAAAATTTTGTCTAACAGATAGAAGGGAAAGAGCTACAACTGCCAACATTTCATCTTTTTTAGTACTCTTACTTAATAATTAGAGAACACCAAAATTTTGACATTTTGATGCAAACAGGCGTCAAAATGTCAAAATTTATTTCTGTATATACAAAAAAAATTTTTTTTTTTTTTAACTCGAGCAGAAGAAGTTTTATTAAACAAACATAAAGTTTTATTTATTTAATTTTATTTACCTCCTAAGTAAAAGATAGTCAAAGTTAGAAATTTTTTATAAATTTTTCTATTTTTTCTATTTAATTTGACTCGCCTTAACTACACTGAGTGGTTAGTTATTACATTAAATCATTTCCTATCGTCAATCACATTATTGCCGTGCCAAAAGCAATAAACTATATATAATCGTAGTTTTACTTTAACAAGAACCTGTACAAGATTCAAAATGATTTCAAAAAATGTATTAGATTACAAGATTACATATGAAAATCATGTGAAGAAAAACAATTGCAGAAAAGTCTTCAATGATGATTTTAATTTATCATTTTTTTAAACCTAATAAAGATATGATAAATGTGAAGACTATAAAATTTTTTAAACCATCAAAATAATGTATCAGCAATATTATTGCGCATCCAAAGAAAAATAAAAGAGAGAAAAAAACGAAGGACAGTATTTATCAAAATAATAGTTGTAGATTTTGATCTTGAAAATGTTTTTAAGCTGCCAAAACCTAACGTATCAAGCTTTTATTATTTTAGTAAACTTAATTTAACCGGTTATTGTAATATTAAAAAAGGTTATACAACATGTTACGAATACATAAAGCGGGAAATCTAGCAATAATATTGCTAGTGCAGCTTTATCAAAATATTAAAAATAAAGTAAAAGGCATTCCTTATATAAATAGTCATTCTGCGGTTGAACAGTTGCGTTCCACAAAATAAAAATTCATTGACGAAGTTAAAACAAACTGTGTACAACAGTACAATATTAGAAGTCAATTTTAGAACATCTTTTCATAAAAGCTTTTAATGTTTTAGAATTGGATATGTAAAAATACAAAGAAACAGAAATTTATTAAATTACTGCAATGATCAAAAATTATGCTTCTAGAAACTGAACAAATTTCACTTCAGAGACATTTAAAATTAAAATATTTACATGAGTAAATCATGAGCTAACATAACACGTAAATTATTTGTTGAAAAATGATATCTTATAAATTGTTTGAATACTATTTATTTAAGTAGTATTCGAACATCTAAAATAAAATGTTTACTCAATTATTCGAATATTATTTGACGAATATATTTGGGCGCATAAACCTTAATATAGATCCTTGTTTTTTGAATTAAACTCCTTATTTTTGCCGGATATTGCAAATTTTTATTTCTTGTTACAAATGAAAATGTTTTGTGGGTGCGTTTGTGTGAATATAAGAATATTCAAAAAAGTGTTATATTTAAATTGATTACGTTTTTGGCGTCTTTACAACTGTATAAAAACGACTACATTAGGCGCAAACATTGGTTTTATGACCATAACACAAAGTATTTTTGTTCGTTCAGCCGAGTAAGAAGCAACAACTGCAAACTTAGCAAAAAATCACTCAATAAACTTCTGAAATGAGAAGATTTTCTAGATGCGCAAGTATACTGTAAATTACTTTCATGAGGTCGTCCCCAAACCTCATTATGTACATTGTAATGTTCTTAATAATGACGTTCAAAATCTAATATACCTTAATGAATGCGCTTACTTTGCTCCTCTGAGTAAGCTTCCGTGTTCTTTTTAAATTTATCAAGGTGAGTAACAATAATATGTACTTTAATTGACGTTCTACATCCTTTTTGCATCATTTTTTATAAAAAATATTACTCAACTCCTGATAGTTTTTACCCTTTTGATTACCCAGAAAGCTACGAACAACTATAACAAAACATCTCCAAGTAGCTTTCTCCGTCCGATTTGAAATTTAGGATTATCTGTGGTTTCGCGACAATACCAAACCTAGTCTTAGTCTTCAACCTCTTCGATGAAATAAATCCCTTCTCTTTTTAAGAGCTAAAACTTTTAACTATTAAAAAACTTAATTTGATGTAAAAGGGTAGCATAAGCACTTAATGAGGTAGATCGGCTTCCACTTAACGTTGTTCTTGCTCACAGAGAACTTATTATGGTCAGTACTTTCTTTAATTCAGTTCGTTTTAGGCTTTCTCAGAGGCAAGAGAAAAAATGAAATTTTATGAAAACGCCTTGAAAGCACATGAGAAATGATACCATTTTAAACTCTCTGATAACCTCTAATTAGTGGTTGCCATGCTTCAAGACATTCAGCAACATCTTGAAAATAGTGTAGCCACGAAAGAACACGGCTTTGAGGTTTCGGGATGAAATGTCTATAATTAGATCCATTCACTCGGGCTATATGCGATGTTAACAGTCTAGAAAGTATTGGATACATCTTTGCAGAAACACAGCCCTTTTGACTAAAAAAGTTAGAAAATATTTGATGACGCAGGATAACAAACTTCACGGCTTTCTTTTCTCTGATCTGTGACTTGCACGTTTTATCCAACAAATTCCAGTGTTTGAGCATGGATATCAGAAGCTCAATATTTGACTTGGTAAGACCTAGGTTTTTGATTAGAACGTTGATGCCTGGTTAGAAAGGTACGGTGTCCTCTCCTTAACCACCTGTAGTTTATATCTCTAATATTTATTCTCGCAGTTGGACTTTCTGGTTTGAGTCATTCTCTCCTGAAAATGACTGATATTTTTTAGAGAAAGTAGGAGTAAGCTGATACTTTGTAAAGCAAGTAGGAACAAACCGGGGCTATGTGGTACTATGCAATAGACAACTTTTGAAAGTGAATTACGTATATCAAATTTATTGAAATTCCACAAAATAAAGCACATCTATGTAAAAACCGTTTAATTTAACTTATATTTATATTGCGGAATCATCACTTAATCATCATATCCTAATCCTCCAATTATTGATGGAACAACTACATTTTTTAATAGCTTTATTACTCGCAGTCGTATACTATTGCAAAGTATACGACTTTAAATTTCTGAGCATCATAACAATGCCATCTTGCTTTAGATTTTTAGATGAGGTGGCATACTACTTGATATCAGACTGCAAATTTTCGTTGAAACTTTTAATAACATCTTGGTTATCACAAACTGCAGTATTTATGCTACAGTATGTCTTTCCCGTCCCATTAATCTTTTCGATAATTTTCTCGTTAAACATTCTTCAGTCTTTATTCTTTGGACACAATAAAGCACATCTTGAAATACTTCTAAGTTGAGCTTGTTAATGTTATCGCCAAAAATTTCTATAATCAAAGATTTGGTAGCTATACAAATGTTTAAGTCTCAAAGTATTTCCATGTTAACAGTTATTTTAAAATACATTCCTTAATTTTGATTTTTGTATCATGTTTCATGGCATGGCACTGTCTTCAATCGCCTTTGATAATACTGTATTCAACCAACCTGTTAGTCCTTGGCCTTGCCTGAAGGCCAAAAATTAAAGCCTTGAAACTGTTAGCCTTGGCCTTGGTCTTGGCCTGGTTCTTGATTGTTTTGACATTGGCCTTGGAAAAAAAAAAAAAAACATAATTAAAGAATTTAATGTTTTCATTCTTTATTTTATGTTTTTTTTTTCGGCTTTCATATATATCTACAAGTATATTTTTCTTATTAACTTCGTTGAATTCTGCGCATAACCTTGGTCTATTTTTACAACATGTGGTTTTATTGTCACAGCACTTGCTACCTACAGTTTTGTTAATAATTGGTTTTAACGTAAGGCATAAATTTAATTCTTTGGTCTTAAATATGTTTACGTAGGCCTTGCGTAGGTCTTGAAACTCTTATTCTTGGTCTTGATCATAAATTTCTTGGCCTTGGCCTTGTTCTTGGCCTTGTTACTTGTGGCCTTGGTCTTGGCCTTGGTCTTGGCCTTGGCCTTGTAACATGTGGCTTTGGCCACAGAGTAGCAACTTTTGGCCTTGTTAACAACTTTGCTGGTAATTAATCTGCTTGTTTTGATTTAACTACTAGTAGTTTTAAACATTTTAATGATAAAATAACCTTATTTAAGTTATCACCATTGCTTGACTTGTCAATACTTGTTTAAAAAAGGATCCAATACCAATTTGGGCATTTTTTTAAATTTGGTAAGTTTTCTTATTAAAATAAACTAATTAATTCAATCTTTTTAAAAATCTAAAAAAAAAAACTTTGATTGAAAATAATCAAAAATAAATAAAAGTATAGAAATTTTTTTTTTATTTTAAATGTTTAATAAACAGTTAATAAGAAATAGCCATAGACAATAACACTAAGATAAAAAAGGGTTACAAAATAAACTATATTAAAAATCGTAAAGAAGATAAATACAGTATAAATATTAATACAACTCTTAAACTTAGACGTATATAAACTTTTACATACACTTATGTCGTACGGACATCTACATTATTAATTCAGTTTATGAGTGTAAATTTTAAAAAGTATATATTAACTTACATTTTTGGAATAACTGTATCAAAATATATTAAATATCAAACAGATTTAGCTAATAATATGCATTCGGCTCAGAAGAAAACTTAAATTTTCTTCTATTTTTTTATTTTATTTTTTAAGTATACTTTTTAATTCTTTTTGTAGATATAAGTAATTTATTTCTAGAAAATCATACTGCAAGATGTTGAAATACAAAACATAAAATTGGTAAAACAACTTGACAAGTTTCGGTCTACGGAAGTAAGTTCTTGTCTAAAAAAAACTTCCCCTAATTCTATTTATAGAGAAGCAGTTGGAAATTAAAAAAAAGTTTGAAACCTATTTAAAACCTTTTTAAACAAAAACAAAACTTGATTCAATAGTAAACCTATTTCATGCTTTGGATGTTAAATATTCAATGTTTAGAGATAACTTTATTCAACATAATTTTGTTTCAACAATAAACAAGTCAACCAGAATAACTAAAACCTAATTGATATTACTTGATTATAATTGAATAATAATGAAGATAATATTTACTAATAATTTTTATATAATTGTCTTGCTATAGTAAAAATGATACAAATTGATTTAGTCAAGGCAATCAATACACTTATTAACCATGGTTGCAAAAATAAACTACAATCATTATGGATAAATAAAAATGTTCAAAAATTTAAGTTTTGAAAAAAATTTTAAGTTTTCAAAATCTTAATTTTTTAAAAAATTTAAAAATTACTTTAATGTAGAAGGCTTTAAAGAATTCAATTTGCAGCTTGGAAAGTATAAACAAGACAAACGAACAAAAAATTAAAGATTTAGAAGAACAAATTAAATACGAACGGTATTAATATTTTGAGTTTTTTATTTTATTTAAATTTTTAACATTATTATTCAAGAAACTTTATTTATTAGGGCAGCTCTGAATAAGTCTACACAACAGTGCCAATTGTTGGTTAAAAAAATAAGTCATGAACTTGAGTTAACACGGTATTCTATTTTTATCTTTGTTGACATTAGTATTGTTTAAAACTTTATATTTGTGTTATTGAAAAATTAATTGAAAAATTACGTATTAAGTTTAAATTTTTACAAAATTGAGTTAGGTATCACTCATAGTTAAAAAAAATACATGTATGAAAGACTAGGGTGATCAGAGGCCCCTGTTTTCCAAGATTTTCCCGGTTTTAGGTAAGCCATCCCAGCATCACGAAAAAAATCATTGTGACAGTCAATCGTTCGGTTTTGAAATCAATTATGTTTAAAAAAAAAAAATTCAAGAAGGATTTTTTAATTTCTAATTACCGACTCATTGATTACCATATTGGCCTTAGTTATTGTGCACTAAGTATACGTTGAAACCAGGTGTAAAAAAATAAAGCCATAACCAACCAGACTAAAGATATTTGAATCAAAAAATATGATTGATGTATGTAGTTCTTAACAACCCATACCATACCAAAAATATAAAATGTTTCTTTCTTAAGCCCAGAATGGCTACTTCGGTATTCTTTAGCTATATATCGAGCAAACTACGCAGCAATATCAGCACATATTGCAGCTGTTGACTGAGAAACAGTATTACTGGACTAAATGCAAATGAAGATTATCAACTTTTAGTAAACGTGTACAATGAAGCCACTAACTTGCACATTCCGTTAACTACCACTCCCTTTTTAGGAAAACAGGAGCAATCAGTAACACCAGAACTTATTGAGGCGGTCAAAGCTAAACGCACCTATTGGGCCAAGTATATTAATGCAGGTCGAGATACGCACAAATTTCTCAAAATATCGCATCGTACTGCCTGCAAAAAAGTTAAAAAAATGGTCAAAGCTGGTAGGCAGAAGTACGAAGAGCTACTCCTCAGGGATTTCGAAAGCAACCCTAAACGCTTACATGCATATATAAGAAGCAAGCAGAGCGTCAGTAACAACATTATATCGCTTGAAACAGTCAATAGCAACATCACAACCGATACTGGTGATATATGCGCATCGTTAAATGACTATTTTCAATCAGTCTTTGTTTTAGAGCCCGAAGGTTCAATGCCAGGCTTTGAAAGTCGTACATAAGCAGTTTGTGTCATCGATCCATCAATTTTCTCTATCGACATTGTACAAAAATGCCTAAACAGCCTTGATGAAAGAAAATCAACCGGCTACGATGGCTTACATCCACGGGTCCTCAGTAAATGTTCAGCTACCTTTGCCAAGCCTCTTTCGCTTATCTATAAACGCTCGTTTGCAACTGGTGTAGTCCCTGACTTGTGGAAAAAATTGAATGTAACACCTATTTTCAAGAAGGGGAGTAGGCTAAAAGCATCCAACTACCGGTCAGTCTCGCTCACTTCCATACCTTGCAAAATTATGGAAAGTAAATAATGAAAAAAAAAGAATAATGGAACACTGCGTTGCTAATGGACTAATTTCTCTAAACCAGCATGGCTTTGTTCATCGTAAAGGATGCGTATCAAACCTTTTAGAAACTCGGGACACCATGACGGAAGCAACTTACTGCAGACACGCAGTAGACGTCATTTACACAGACTTTGCAAAGGTGTTCGACAAAGTACCACATAAACGCCTCCTTTATAAGCTAAAAGCGTACGGTATTCAAGGCGCTCTCGTTGATTGGATTGCAGCTTGACTAAACAATCGATGTCAACGAGTGGTTATAAACAGCATTACTTCTGAATGGAAAGCAGTCACTAGTCGAGTGCCTCAAGGCTCGGTCTTGGTCCCATTGCTATTCGTAATCTTTGTAAACGACCTGCTGGACAGAATTACTCATCATATGAAACTGTTTGCCGACGACAGCAAAATAATAGGGATAAGATGACGTTGACAGAGCAGTGGAATGGTCACACATTTGGCTCTTCCATTTCAGCGTTGAGAAATGCAAAGTAATGCATGTTGGGCGCGGATGTAACAAGTCGACGTACAAATACTCAATGTCTAACGTCGACGGCACCCATCGTCCCCTCGAAAAAACCACAGTCGAAAGAGACCTGGGTGTGATAGTCTCGAATGATCTTAAAGTCAGACCGCAAATAGAGTCAGCCGCATCAGTAGCAAATAGAATGCTAGGGCGACTCAAAAAAACATTTCGCAGTCGCAGTTTTTATTTATGGTGCACTCACTTACATTCAGTTTTTATTTATGGTGCATCTCACTTACATTCGCCCCCATCTTGAATTTGCTGTACAAGCCTGGTCACCGCATTTAAAATCAGACATTACCATTCTCAAGCAGGTCCAACAACGAGCAACAAAAACAATATCGACTATTAAACACTTGTCCTATAAAGATCGACTCCAACGGCTTGGTTTAACAACTCTTAAAGAACGCCGCAAAAGAGCAGATCTTATCGAGCAATTTAAAATTATTCGTAAACTTGAGCTTGTCAGTTTTAAAAAATTTTCAAAAAATAAAGATAAGTATATTCTAAAAGGCCATAACCATAAACTAGAACGTCAGATGGTAAAAAACTGTGAGGAGCGATATAACTTTTTTTCAAACAGAATTGTCGCCCCATGGAGTGCGCTTTCGCAAGAAGCAGTGAACGCTCAATCCATTAACGCTTTCAAAAATAACATAAGAAAGTAACTTTATAGATACAACTGCTGCTTTGTCTGTAGCGTCTGTATCTCCATGTTCGTCAGCATAGAGGGGCCTGGTGTAGCACCTCTTCATCAAATTATTAATGGATTATTGTATTTGTATTTGATCACTGAAATAAATAAATAAATAAAAAATTAAGAAAAAAAAAATATTTTGCTATATTTTGCTTTGGCCATATATATTCTTTTGGCTTACCGAATCAGGGACAATAAAACCGAGCCCGGTTAACAAATAAAGCTTTTTTTTTGTTTGTTTTTAAAAAAAAAATGCCATTTTTATCCGGGTATGAAGTTTTAATAAAAACTATTTTGGAATTCGTTTTTATGGCCTTCGGAGATTACCGACAAACTCATTTAGACAGTATTTTATCATTTTGTCTCCGTTGTGTTTTTTAAAATAAATTCTTTCTATGATAAATTAGTAATATAAAATTTCCTCTCCAAAAGATGCGATTTGGTAGAACGACGAAAAGAGGTATTACAACTTAAACAGGATAGTCTGGCAAAAGATTTTACTTTTCAAGAAATCAAATATACAATGATAAAAACTGGCGCAGTATATAAACAAATAGAGAACGAAGAAGAAAATTCAAAAAATTCATAATCATTAATATAATGAGTATATTTTGCTTATTAGTTTAGTATATATTTATTAAATTATTAATAATAAATAGTTTGATATATTTGAAACTAATACAATGATTATAAATTTTGTTAAACATATTTTTTTTTACTCCTCGAAAAGAATTTTACCTCACACTTAATTTATTGAGTATATTTAAAGTTCTAAATTATTTTTGTTTTTTTTTTAATTTTATTTGTGTTTAGTTTATAAACTTAATAATTAATATTTTAATTATTGCGTTGTTTGATTTGTATAATATTTTAAATATGTAAACTTGAAATAATGTTTAAATAATATCAAATAAAACATTTAAGTAATAATATCTTCTCCAACATTAAGTAGCGTCAACTTGCAAACTATAATACATATACAGTGAGCAAAAAAATTATCCGTCCATTCAAGAATTGAACTTTCTTTATCAAATATTTCTTTTCTATAAAAAAATAAAAAATTGAAATAAATACTAATAGATAGAGGTTTAAAATAACATATACCACTATTTTCGCAAAATATAATTTTCAAAAAAAAATCAGAAAAAATAAAAATTAAACAAAAAATAAGCAAAAAAATTATCCGTCCACTTAATTTAAAATAAAATTAAGGTAAATTTATTTAATTAAAATGTTTCAAACATTGAATATTATATGTATTATTACAATTATTATTATAATGTTATTTTTATTACAAATTAAAAAAAATGGAAATACTTAATATTTCTACGTCAAACAGAAAAACCAGCGAATATTCGGATGACTTCCGTTCGAAAGTTCTAACGCTTCATCGAGATGGGAAAAGTTAGCAAGGAATTGCAGGAATGTTGAAAATGTCAAAAACATCGGTGCAATCTATTATTAACAAGTTCAAAAGCACCAGAAGAATAAGTAATATAGAAGGGAGAGGAAAAAAGAGAAAAACGGACGAAAGAACTAACCGGGAAATTTAGCAGCGATAAAAGTCTCAAATGACCTGAAAGAAGAAAAAGGAGTCGAAATCACTCCACAAACTGTCCGAAATTGCCTCCATGAATCAAATTTACATGAACAAACGCCACGAGCTAAGCCCTTCATCAGCGATAAAAATAGAAAGTTGCGTCTAAAATGGGCTAAAAAGTACGTGGATCTCCCACAAAATTTTTGGAATAACATTTTATGGTCGGACGAAAGTAAATTTAACATGTCCGGTTGCGATGAAGTAGGGAAAGTGTGGAGAACGCCAGAAGAAGAACTTAAAATAATGTGTTTGAAACAAACTGTCAAACACGGTGGGGCAACGTGATGATGTGAGAGTGCATGAATGCTGCGGGGGTGGGAACTTTACAATTTATCGATAAAAGAATGGACCAGTTTGTATATAAAAGAACAATCTCAGTGATAATATGGGTCACCATGCGATAAATTGGGCTTGGGAGGCAATGTCTTGTTCCAACAAGACAACGATCCCAAGCATACAGCGCGTTCCATTACCACTTTTTTGGCCGAAAGTGGCATAAATAAGTTAGAATGGGTTGCTCAATCTCCGGATTTAAACCCAATTGAACATTTATGGGCTATTTTAGAAAGAAAAATTCGAAGTAGGAACCCATCGAACAAAAATGAATTGAAAAGTATAATACGGGGGCATGGGAGGAAGTTGGCCGTGATGTAACGGAAAAACTAGTTAATTGTATTTTCGTTTTATTTTGAATATTAATTTTTTTATTGAACTTTTTCTTTTGATATGATGTGTGGACGGATAATTTTTTTGCTCACTGTATATATGTATTATAGTTTGCTTGTTCCTAGGGACATATGTGCGTTTCTCTGATAAAGAATTTGTTTGATAACGAGATATATTGTTGAATTTCGATTGGTGCAAAAATTTTTTGTCTTGCGATTGTTTTGGGATTACCATTTTATGCGCAGACTTATTTGTTAATTTTACGCTCAGACTTATTTGTCAATTTTGCTTAGAACTATTAGTGGATTTTGTTATTTATTATTTAGTTATGTTTTTTAGTGTTTATTTATTATTTAGTTATGTTATTTAGTGTTTTTTGATATTGCAATCAAGTAACGCTAAATAAGTTTGTTGAAAACAATTTAAGATTGAATAAATTTTTAATCAAATTTATATGTCCATCTTTTCTTTCATTATACTTATATTAATAAAAAGTTATTAATATTGAGATGTGATCTTATCAGTTTCACCATTTTTAGACATGTCTGGGACCTTGAATTTGGGTATTGAAAAAAATCCAGTCTTAGGTAAAAAAAACTCCCTAATTCTTTTTATAGAGAAAAAATTCCCTAATTCTTTTTATAGAGAAGCAGTTTAAAATTAAAAAAAAGTTTGAAACCTATTTAAAACCTTTTTGAACAAAAACAAAACGTGTATCTACCATGAAACACGTGTACTTACCAAATGACTTTAACTTAAACCTATTGAATCATGCTTCGAATGTAAATATTCAATGTTTTTAGATACCCTTATTCTACACAGTTTAATTTCAACTATAAACAAGCCAACCAGAAAAAACTTCATCGACTTGATTATAATTGAATCATAATGAAGATAATATTTACTAAAAATTTTCATAATTACTTATTAGAATCTGGAATAATCTCTCGTTGTTTCACATTTTAAAAATTTTCTTAAAATTTGGCATTGTATCTGAGAAATTAAAAAATTGCTAAAATCAGTTATTTTTAAAACTGGTGACGTGACAAATTCTCCGTCTCACCATGTTTCACAAAATTATTTGACCGTATTATGTATGGCTTAATAATTACTTAACCGAGAACAATATACTGTTTAACAAGCGAAATTGGGTTTAAAAAATTATTTAACGGATCATGTTTTATTGAACTAATAAACTATATATCCGATGGGTTCAATGATAGCTATACATTAGTTCTTATTGATCTGTCGAAAGCTTTTGACACTGTAAACCATGATATCCCTTTGAAAAAACTTGAACTCTATGGAGTATTAATAACTTTCTGTAGTTTAAAGATTACCTGTCGAACAGGAAGCAAGTATAATGCAAGTATAAAGCAAATGAAACAGAAAAGCACATTATAACTTGTGGTGTTCCCCAGGGATCAATTCTAGAACTACTAATACTCTTATTTTATTTAAATGATTAATATTTAGCATCCGAAAATTTAAATGTTTCATTGTTTGCTGACGACTCTTTTATTTAAACAATCGGGTTGAAATTACTTAAAAAGCTCTTCCAGATTAATGCTGACAACCTCATCTTCCAGATGAGATTGTCAGCGTCTTTACTACCTACAGTTATAAAAAAAAAAAAAGAAAAAAAACTAGATCATACACAGACACTCGAGCTGGCTTGCTAACAAAAAAATAAAGACAAAACAAGACGTTATTGATGTTTTTTTTTTTTTTTTTTTTTTTTTTTTTTTTTTTTTTTTTTGTTCTTTAATTTTACAACTTTGTGATTTAATAAATATTCGTTAACAATGTATATATATATATATATATATACATATATATATATATATATATATATATATATATATATATATATATATATATATATATATATATATATATATATATATATATATATATATGTATATATATATATATATATATATATATATATATATATATATATATATATATATATATATATATATATATACATGATCGTTATTAAGAAATAAAAGAACGCGGGAACTCGTAGAAGACCGTAAGGTCTTGTCGTCGAGAACCGCTAAAAAATTTTCGTGTTAATATTTCGTATTAATAAAATATTCTCAAAATAAATAAACTTTCAATAGGAATATATACTTAACATACTTGAAGATAACAAATAATTAAGAATTAAGAATTGAAAACATAAACAAATTTAAAGAAAAAAAGAAAAAGAAAAACGGTTCCTTTATAAATACATAGATGCGTTATACAGTTTTAAGATATCTTTAGCACAATTGTTAAACTTTTTGTTAAAGGTTTTGTTATACAGTTTTAAGATACCTTTAACAAAAGTGTTAAACAACTATTTACAAATTGTTAAGTTATAAAATTTATTAATGCAGTGTTAAATATAAAGTTAAAAAAAGAAACAAAAAATTAAAAGAATATAGATATATCATCTAATAAAAAAATGACTTTTTTAAGTTTTTGTTTGAAAGAGTGATAGCTAACTTCTTGAGAAAAGTCAAAATTCTTTAAAACTATTTTATTCCAAAGTAATGCTCCTCGAAATGAAATACAGTATTTTCCAGAATTAGTTTGATAAGCTGATTGACGAATATTATTATCATTTCGTAAAATGTACTTAGTTTTTTCTTTTTTGTTATACAAATTATGAAAAGAAACAGGAGAAATATTGTTTTTACATTTAAACATAAAACATATAACGTTAAAAATATTAAGCTCATATATATTTAAGACTTTCATTTCAATTAATAGAGGCTTGGCATGAGTAAATCGATCCTTAAAATTAAAAAGGCGTGCAACATGTTTCTGTTGACGATAAAGAGGTTCCAGTTTACTTTTATTAGTACTACCCCACACAATGTTCGCATAGTTAATGTGACAATGAATGAGCGAATAATATAGTTTAAGTAATGTATGTTTATTTAAAAAGCACCTTGCTTTGTACAAAAATCCTATGCTTTTTGATATTTTACTACTCAAATTTTTTATGTGACTTTTCCATGACAAATTTTCATCAATATAAATACCAAGAAAGTTTGTAACTGTTACCTTTTTTAGAAGTATATTATCAATAAAAAGCAGTGGCACTTCATTTGGTATAAGATTTTTTTTGTGATTTGGATGGAAAAAAATCCATTTCGTTTTATCGATATTAAGAGACAGTTTATTTGTCTTAAACCAATCAGAAATTCTTACTAGTTCATTATTGATATTCTGAAATAACAATGTAATATCATTATGAGATAAAAATAAGTTTGTGTCATCTGCAAACATAATCGCCATTAAATTTGAGGCTTTATGGAGATTGTTGATGTGAATAAGAAAAAGAAGAGGCCCTAATATTGATCCCTGAGGAACTCCACAGGTTATATCAAGCAAGTTTACTGGTGAAACTACATCAACGTATACAAATTGCTTTCGATTATTTAACCAATTTAAAACACTTCCCAGTGGGCATTTCGACGTCGAACGAACGTCGAGCGACGTCGGATCTCGACGTCGGATCGACGTTGGGTTTACGTTGGAAATGGAAATGTTATTTGACGTCGGATAAACTGACATCGCGCGACGTCGGCATTCCGATGTAAATCCAACGTGTTTTTTGAAAACTATAAAACGTTGTCTTTAGCAGGAATCGAACCTCAGTCTATTAGATACTAAATCCTACGCGCTTACCACTACACCACAGTATCATATTAGACTAAGTGTTTATTTAGTAATGTATACTTGTAGCTATTTGGGAATTATTACTTTGATAAGAAATAATTTTGTTTAAATATTATATAAATATTAAAACGAATAGTTATATATTATAAAAAATGTATACTCGAAAATGTTAATAGTTAAAAAACTATGCTAGTGCATCATACAAAACCTCATGATGTTTTATCAACCATTATTCAAACTTTTTTCCATTAATAAAAAAACACGCTTAGTTCACATAATTATTGAAGAGCGCAATTGCACACATATTGTTGGGTTTGGATTAAATTTTCATCAGCGATGTCTTACGACGTTGTTCCGACGTCGTTTTAAGGACGTTGGATTGACGTCGGAAGACGTCAAAAGACATCGGAGTACGTTAATATTATGACGTTGCCCGACGTCTTTTTATCGACGTTGGGTCGATGTCAATACTGCGACGTTTTTTGGACGTCTTTTATAAGATGTCGAAACAACGTCAAATTACATCGAAACGACGTCAGGGGATGTTGAGATAAAGACATCGCCCGACGTCATTTTACTGACATCGGAACAACGTCGGAATAGGTCTTTTGACATCGCTGATGAAAATCGTACGTAAATCCGACGTCGGATTGACGTCGGGTGCCCACTGGGTTCCGTTTATACCGTAAATCTTTAGTTTATTTAAAAGAATATTGTGGTCTATTGTATCGAAAGCTTTAGCAAAGTCAATAAAAACCCCAACTGTATATTGGGAGTTTTCAAAAGAGTTAGTAATACTTCTTGTAAACTGGAGAACTGCGTGTTCTGTCGAGTTGTTTTTTTTGAATCCATATTGATTGCTCTATATTAAATTGTTTACAGATAAATGATTATAAATTCTGTTGTATAAAATTCTCTCCAAGACTTTTGAAAATGCAGATAGAATAGAAATGGGACGATAGTTGCTAACATTAGTTAAATCACCTCCTTTAAATATCGGAATCACCTTTGCTATTTTTAGTTGGTTAGGAAAAATTCCTTGCCTATTAGAACCAGAAAAAATCTTAAAAAGTACATCTTTAATGATTTCATATGATTTAATAACAATATTTACATTGATATTATCCGCACCAGTAGTAAGAGATTACCGATTCTGGGACATTTTTATTTTCAACCAAATTTTCAACCATAAATTAATATTAATATTGAGGTTAACATTGAACCATGTTGTATATAATTTATTTAGATAAGAAATAATTTTTTATTTTAAAAAAAATTGATTTTTTAAAATAAGTGTTAATTTTTATTTCTTGTTATGAAATATTACGAAAAATTCTTGCTTCTTATTTACACCCTAATTCATGCAAGTATTTTAGCAATTCAAGGTTGCCATTTTCAACAGCTTTTTCAAAAGCTTGACCAAATTCAAATTCTGAAGCTCTGTACCCTAATTCATGCAAGTATTTAATTAATTCAAGGTTGTTATTTTTAACAGCTTTTTCAAAAGCTTGGTCAAATTCATAATTTGAAGCTCTATACAATAATTCATGAAAATAATTTAGCAATTCAAGGTTGTTATTTTTAACAGCTTTTTTAAAAGCATTATCAAATATATCTTCTGAAGCTCTATACCCTAATTCATTTAAAAACTTCAACATTAAAATGTTGTTATTTTTAGCAGCTATTTCAAAAGCATTATCTACACTTTGTTTTTTTGATTGGATTAAATATTTAATCAAGTCAATTTTTCTTATTTTTACAGCAAAATAAACTTTATTACCTTGTTTATACCCATATTTTTTTAGATAATCATTTAGATCATCATCAATCATACCATTTTTATCTTCATCATATTCATCATATTCATCATCACTCATGTTATCATCTTTATTAATCATTTCATTTTCATTATATTCATCATCAGTCATTTCAATATCATGAATATTAATAATATTTAATTTTTCTTCAACTAATCTTAATCTTTCATTTATTGATTTTAAAAATGAATTTTGCATTTCGTTTTCCATTCTTTTTATATATAAAAGAAAATTATTTAAATCATTTTCAAATTTTTTTTTATTTTTAATACGCACGCGCTAGATTTACTTAAATATAGTAGTCTCATCATATCCAACAGAACGTAAATATTTAAATACTTCAATGTGATTCTTTCTTGCAGCATAATTAATTGCATAATCATCACCTTTATACCCTAATTCATGTAAATATTTAATTACTTCAAGATGCCCATTTGTAGCAGCATTATCTATTGCATCTTTTGTTCCTTTATACCCTAATTCATGTAAATATTTAATAATTTCAAGGTGACCATTTCGAGCAGCTTTATTTATTGCATATTCTGTTCCTTTATACCCTAATTCATGTAAATATTTAATAACTTCAAGATGCCCATTTGTAGCAGCATTATCTATTGCATCTTTTGTTCCTTTATACTCTAATTCATGTAAATATTTAATTACTTCAAGATGACCATTTTTTGCAGCATTATTAATAGCATATTCTGTACCTTTATACCCTAATTCATGTAAATATTTAATTACTTCAAGATGTCCATTTGTAGCAGCATAAGCAACTGCATTTGTAGTTACTTTATATCCAAGTTCAATTAATTGTTTTATCCAATCAAGTCTATTATTACTTGCAGCAAAGTCAACTTTATTACCTTGTTTATACCCATATTTTTTTAGATCAGCAGTTATAATACAATTAGAATCTTTCTGTTTAGCTTTATGTAAAGTTTTTTCTAGTGCTTTTTCTAATGCTAATGCTTTAAATTCAGGTCCATAAGGATTTTTATCTTTTTTACGATCTAATCTTTCTTCAATTAATTTTATTTTTAAGCATAATTCTTCAAGTTTCTTTTCTAATTCTTCAATTTTATTTTCCATTCTTTTTTATATATAAAAGAAAAATTATTTAAATCATTTTCAAATTTTTTTTATTTTTTTAATGCGCATGCGCTGGATTTACTTACGCGTAGTAGCGCTTATGCGTAGCAGAATTGTCTTAACAATATTATATAGGGTCTCTTATTGCATATAATTCTAGTTCTGTTGCTACAAATGGAAGAGTACTATTTTGTATATAATTATCAAATATAGGCATAGCAGGTTGTCCATTATATACATAGTTCATATTTTGACATACAGGTGCCCAATAACCACCACTTGTATCTAGTGTAAGTACTGCTCCAGAATTCATCATGCTTTTTGTAGTTGTCAAATTTAAACCGCAAAATCCTTGTCCTAATTCTGTACATCCAAATGGTGTATCTGTTGATATGAGTTGTGCAATATTTTGATAATGCATCGACATCATTGGAAGGAATGCTTGTTTAAATATAATGCTATTCCATACACCATTAATTTTATATTTAAGTCTATATTTATAATAGCCATCTTTGTTTTTATACTGCCAATTAGTAAATAATGTACTATATACTTGAGCAGTAGATGGAGTAGAATTAAATACTCTATAGGCGCTATAATAATTGTTAAGAAATAAATATCCAGCAACTTGTCTAACTAATAATACTTCTCCAGAATTATATGGTGTTCCATAGCCACCACCATATATATTATTCATTGCAAATGGTATTGCTTCAAAAAATTTGTTTGCTAAAAATATTTGTTGTCTTGAACCATAATGTACTCCATCGAAATTTGCACTCCTCAGACTGGGAGGCATACCATCTAGAGATATACTAGCTGTATATGGAGAAAAATTTATAATATTTTTTAATGCATCTTGAACTTGAGTTGCTGTAGTTGAGTTTGCTTGAACCCATGAAGATAGCATTTGAAATGTAATGAATAGCATTTTATTTGCTTTTATTTGTGAGTTTGGCAATGTATCAAATTGGTTTGATGAGTATGCAATGTAATCTCTAATGGTTTGTATAAAATTCATTAGAATATATGCATAGTTATCACACCAACCAGTTATAGAATCGTCTTCTCCTTGACTCCAAGTCATACAGCAAAACTCTGCGTTATAATGTGATGAAATGTAATTAATTCTACGAGTTAAATCTTTAAAACCAATTCCATACGGCATAAAATAATCATTACTGAAACTTTTAGCAGTTAGCATGCATGGAAGTATCATTAAACATTCATCAGGATTTATCATATTTAATGTATTTGCACCTAAAGCGTCTTGCATTATAAGTCCAGCAAGTATTGAACCATATCCTGCCCAACATTTATTATCTGTTTCATTTACATCTAGTCTCAATGAACAAGGAAGTAACACATCATTTTGTCCATTATCCATCGCAAATTGGACTATTCGTCTGTTCATATAATTTACATTAGTTATTGATTGAGATAAACCCCATTCTCTACCAGCATATGTATTTGATTGACCAGCTATAATCAAAACTTTATATTTATGTTGATAAGGAATTAAGCGATCTACATAATTCTTTGTAGCTGTATCTTGTGCATTAGTAGGATCAGCTACATTAATCAATTTATTTGAATTCAAATTAATATTTGAATTCATACTATTAGTTCCATCTATTTTTAGATAGGAACTGCTAGAAATCTGATTATTATCTACATAATACTTTGTAGCTGCATCTTGTGCATTAGTAGGATTAGCTACATTAATCAATTTATTTGAATTCAAATTAATATTTGCATTCATACTATTAGTTCCATCTAATTTTAGACATGCAATGTTAGAAGTTTGATTGTTATCGACATAATACTTTGTAGCTGCATCTTGTGCATCTGTTGGATCAGCTACATTGATCAATTTATGTGAATTTAAATCAACATCAGTAGTGGCTGTATTGCCAACATTAATGTTGATATTTAATCCATCTGTTGTGTAACCATATAATGAATTACTACCGGCTATATTCATACTCATTTTAAATATGCTATATTTTTTTTAATTCAATATAATGAGTTTTCAATACTTTGAAAATCAACACCTTCATCAAGCTTTTTTAATACATAAAGGCACAAGTGTCCGCAAAAAGAAGCGTCTCCAAACTGAATCCTTTTACTATTATAATAAACAGGACTGTGTAAATATTGAACAAGTTCAACTGGAGGTGGTAGTGCATAAGAATCAAAACTTAATTTTTCTTCTCCATCTTTATACCAGCAAATCCAATGAAATCCATTCGTACTTGAATCTCCAGTATTTAATATTCCACATTCTTTGTTTTGTGTATTTTTAGGTAATTCATCTCTTACAAATACACCTCTAAAATTTTTAATTTTTAATTTTTTTGCTGCTTTTATTAACTGAAAGTTTGTTAAGGGTACATTGGGTAATATAATTCCTTCAACATTGATATGTTTGTCCATTTTTATTACTTTATTAGATTTTTTTAGATCTTTTTAAGATATAAAAAATAACTTACCTGTTTGCCTGCCTGCCTGCCTGTTTATTTCCAATCAATCTGAAATGAAAAGTTGGGTTTGTCAATTATTTCACTTTCATTCCAATCAATCTGAAATGAAAAGTTGGGTTCTGAAGGAACCAATGTTTTATTCTCTTTTAATTTATAATGTCCATATGCTAATGTGTGAATACCATCTTCTTGAATTACTCTTTTATCATCTTCTGCACTCAATGCTATTTTGTTTATTTCTTCAGTATAAACATCATGTAAATGAGATCTTATGACATTCATTTTTCTCATTTGATCTTTCTTATTTATAAGGCAGTCTTTATAATCTTCATGTGTAATATAATTTTTTACTACATTTCTCTTTACTCCTTTACATCTCTTTTTATCTTCTTCATCTATTTTGTAAGAATACAACTTTGATCTGAGTCCAATAAATTCCGTAATTTGTTTTCCTGCTGACTCATCTTTAAACATTCCCAATACTTTCTTATTTACACCAACTTTAAATCCATTTTGAACAGCTGGATGATCTTTATTAAATTCACTTGTATCAAATTTACTTTCAATATCATTAGAAATATCTGCATAAAAGTCTTTTGTTTTTATTTCATAGATTAATGAATCTGTATCTGTATATAATAGTTTAGCTTTATCTCCATATTTATTTTTCATGTAATCATAATGAAATTCATACATTAGTGTTTTGCTCAAATCTAAAATACACATACCCAAGTAAATGGGTTTGTTATAAACTAGTTTTGTTCTTTTCATATGTATTGCAATTAAATTTTCATCAAATATCGTTCTACTTTCATAATTTGGTTTTGATGATAATTTAATAGCTTCTTCTCTTTTAGAAACTAATCTTACATCAACTCTGTTTTCAATGTTCTCCATTGTCTTTCCAAATACTGAATTGTTCATAAGTTTAAAAAAGTCTTTTTCAAAGTCATTTGTTGCTTTTGTTCTTAGATTTGTGTTGAGTTCAATGTATTTACTCAACCATGGACTTTCTTCAAACTTTATTCCTCTATGAATTTTTGTTATTTTCATTCCTAGTCTTTCATATAGTTTTAAGTTTTCATAGTGAATGATATAATTTTTCTTATGATTTAAATTAGGTATTAATTTATCAACTTTGTCTATTTTTAATCTTTCAGGGGCTAGAGGATAATCATTATGAGCATCATGTAAATGTTCAGGATATTCTAAATCTACATCTAATATGCAAGAAGTAGATTTCCAATTTTTTAATTCTTCTTCATTCATCCATTCAAATCCATGTGTTGGAAGGGGTTTGCTCATTGCCCACCCATATAAATTATTTGCATCTAGATACTGTATGTAAGTAGATTCTTTACTTTCATCATAATTTTCAATATATTTATTGTTAGCAGTTCCTAACCTGTTAGAAACCATACTAATTCCACCTCTTATTCCTTCTTTTATCATTAAGATCATATCATAATCACTTAATAATTCTAATTTTACTTCTGTTATTTTCAACGCAGCATCCCAAGCTAATCCTGGTGCTGTATAGTACCAAGCAGGATCTAATTTGTAATTGTTAAAACAGACATCTCTAAAATTTTCAAAGACATCAGCTAGTAGTAATACATCAGATTCGTTATATAAATTATGGTAATCTCTAAATGTTTTACATTGAAACTTTTCCCATACATTTTGTGCATGTAAATAATCTTCATCACTTATTCCTTCATCGTTTAGTCTTGAATAAAATGATTCTTTTGGTGGTAATTGTGTTTCATTTAATTTATCAATAGAGTCAACCCATTCATAAGGATAAACACCTTTTCTTAACAATAAATTGAGTTCATTTCCAGAATAGTATTTACTCAAATTTTTACATTGATCTTTTGACAAATTTTTAGTTAAACTATCTAAACTAGCAGCCATAAATTTAAAACTATCTAGAAAACGTAGATGCAGTTTAACTTCAACTTTTTTACCTTTTCTATTCATAAATTCATTTACTTTAAGTTCTTTAGAAAAGCTGATATATTTTTCTTCATTGTTGGGTATACAATTTATTTTTCCTCCTTCTGATTTTCCTCCTTCTGATTTTCCTCCTTCTGATTTTCCTCCTTCTGATTTTCCTCCTTCTGATTTTCCTCCTTCTGACAATTTCTTTATGAACAAGTGAGAGTCATAACCAGATAAATTGTGAAATAGTACTGGAATGAATTTTGGATTTTTAAATTGTAAATTACAATCACTATGTGCAGCACCTCTATATTTTCCAGTAATATGACAATGATCTCGTACTTTATCATTATTAAGATCTTTTTCACAAATGTGGCATTTTTCTGCATTATCAAAATTATTTTTGTCTTTCATAGTAAATATCATATCTTTTGGAAACTTTAAGTACTTGTTATAAATCTTTTTTACATCTTCTTCAAGCATATTAACAAATTTTTGTGCTACATCTTCATCTTCATTACTTGCAGTGAATGTAACGAGTTGACTTTGATATATTTTTTCATCAAAGCATTT